ACAATTCACGCTGTATAATTCACAAACCAATGATACGCTCATGGCTGCAAGTACATTAGTGAGGACTGCAACGATGAGATGGAAGTTACGGTAAAGTGACAAAGACAGAAATATCGTTGCGTACAGCGTTGCCACTAGTTGTAATAAATATCTAACACTATACAGAAAATAATGAATTTTAACTGATCAGTAATCAGGAAATGTATAAGTATTACTCATTACAAGCTCATTACTGATTTTTGTCATAAATAATACCTTTTAATCGTACTAGTATTGTGTATTATCTATAATTTGCCACAACCTACAACTCTACTGCTTACTATATTTTGATTCTGCTATAAACTGGTAACGTAAAATTTAGATATGACAACACGCTTTACTCTCAATCATTATTGGTTTTACTATAGACTGGTTAATTTTTCATTTGCATTTTTTATTATTTTCAGAATGTTGGAAAATGTGCAAACCAGGTTGATGCCTGCATTTTGGTTTGAACAATCTGCAGAGTTAGATGAAGCTCTTGCATCGCAAGTCAAAATCCTATTATTACTGCCAGCTGCGGGAAATTATTCTGGATACGGAATAATCTGCATTGGACTGCTAACATCACTGATTGCTTGCATAGTTACATTCCGAAAAGGATGGAAGGAAAGTGAGGAGGAGCAGTTGTTGAACCAGGATCAATTCTAACTAGAATTTTTTCACTCCATAAAGTACGACCTTAGACGAATCAACATATTGAGTTTTCAAATAATAACCTTATACGGCTTGTTGATTCACTTTTCCGTTTTGAAAAAGGTAAATTATGGCATGAAATCAGAATAAGACTTTCTTTCCCTTGTTTGTATAGTAAAATCAAATTTACAAAAGTTCAACGGACCACTTACTGAATTTTTTTTTAAATAGAATGAGCTTTTAATTTTTGGAAGCCATGACTGAAATGTTACTATGACCACCTTAGTTGAAGAGAGAACTAGGCTGTTATAGTACTTTCATTTAAATTAGATGTTCGAAAAATGGCACTCAAAAACTTAAAGAATACATACACCAACTTTACAACTAAAGCAATAGTTAATACTTTATAATTATATTGCTAATGCCCATAAATTCCGCTCATGCTACTAGATTTTTCATCTTCATACCTTGAGGAGTGCAATCGCCTTTCATTTAATAGATTCTCAGAAATTTTATACTTCCAATTTTTTTTTCAGAAGAGTTTATTTCGTTAAGTGAATGCTCATTCAAATAAACAGTAAAACTGAAGCAGTCTCTCAGTAACTTTTCATTTGAGTGCAACTACTGACTGCCTCACTTTTTTTAAAGAATTGTATTCAAAAATAATTATATTTTCATACTGACTGCGCCACTTTTTATGAGGAATTAGAGTTTTGAGCAATTATATATTTTTTACTTCATAGTATGTATTACATTAAATTTATATCTTAGTAAATTTGTGTTTTATCTGTCAGTGCACTCTTGAATATGAATATTTGTTAAAGCTTTTCTTGTCATGTCTTGAAAAATCAGCAAAATTGAGAGGCGTTAACAATTAATTGTGTTTGACACAGTCTGATCAGAGCTTTTCAGTGCAACTTGGTTTGTAATTTTTTTAGTGCCAATGTTTCATTGTGCCATAATTAGGGCCAGCATACAACTTTTTGATTACTAAATCACTCCTTTCCGTTGGTATCAAAAAGTCAGTATTTTGTTTTTAACTTTTTGCCATTAGTGATATTACAAAAAAGTATTTATGCAGATTATAAATAGCAACATAAAATAATGTCAAGTTTTTCTCTAATGTTTACTGGTACTCTAAACTTATATTGTGATATTAAATATTTTTGTACTATTACAATAATGAATAAATGGAATTGTTATTATTTATGTCGTTATTTCAGTGTCCTTGCTGTGTAACATGGAATGGTACAAATAAAACATACTTTGGAGAGCCATTCGTCATTTTTTATACAAAAAGTTAATCTGTCAATTCACATAAATACTGGAATAAAAAAGTCTTGTGGTATAATGTACATTATGAACCAAAATCATATACAAAGCTCTATATACAATTTTAACAATTACTATAAACATGATACAACCAATAATTCGATCTACTTGCGAACTTGATGTGAATTAATAATAATTTAACCTTATCGACAATATTTACAAAAATTAATAAATACATATTGGATCATTCTCCGCTTCGTGGAGGCAGTGTTACTTCTGTTATTTTTTCACTTATACTAGTTCCTGCCTGCGTTGAAGTTTTCACCAAACCGGGATTCATGACTCGTGCTAAAACTTGTCTACTTTGAACACCTGAAATAAATAAAAAAATCAGTAAAAGAAAGAATCCAAAATATTTTCACTATTGTACTTTTTTCATATAATATAATAATGATATTTGAAATAAATATATTATTATTATTTCATTAGTAACACAAATATCAGAAATATCCAAGTAATACTTTTGTGAGACTTTCACGTGATAGTTTACAAAACTGCGACACCTCTTTCACTATACAAAAGCTTTCTCTGGTGTGTTCATACTGAATCAGAGTTTACAAAATCGCAACACGTGTTTCTCTTTACAATAGCTTCCAGAGACGTGTTTATACTGACTCAATACCATTATGCCTGAGGAAGCTTTTGTATAGTTTAATACATGTTGCGGGTTCGTAAACTGTCCAGAGGAAATCTCAATAGTGTTACTTGGATACGTTATGTATTTTCATAAAGTATCGGCCAATTCCATCATATATCTTCAAGGGAACAAATGAATCAAGTAAATCTTTGGTTGATGCTTATAAAAAGACTGAGATAAAACATGAATCCCATCATAGGAAAAAATATAACGTTTTCTTAGAAAAATAATGACATTTTTTCTTGGCTCTGATGACTTTTCTATACAGTGTCCCAAAAGTCAATCATCATCCAATAAAGTCAGAATATCTAAATATGACTTTGCTAAAAAATTAATAATTTTAGATTTTGTCACTTTTCAAAATATATCAAATTGAATAATTATTTATTAGGGAACACCATTGAACCAGTTTTAATTTCCATTTTGGTAGAAGGAAAAACAAACTGAACAATGTCTTCAGAAATAAACAAATTCACTTCAGCGGTATTGCTATTATATGCTCTACATCACTTCCAATTGGCTTTCAAAAAATAAAAACATTCCAAATATGTCTATGACTGAGTGATATTAGCATGTCTTGGGATTTTTTCCACAGGAGCAGGATAGACTTGTTCCACAAATTGCTGTGAACGAATTCCCAGTTCAAAAAATCAAACAGAAAAAAAAATCTTTGGTGAACAATTGGAATAAAGTATTCAGTAAGAAAACTTTGATCGTTACATCACATAAGAAAATATACTAATGGGCAATTTTTTCATAATTATTTCAACAGCTATAGATTAATTTAAAGAAAAATCATAAAACTTTCAAAAGAAAAATATGAAAATCGCATCAAAAGTGCTCTTGCAATAATTTGAAGGGAATATTACTGTAATTTTCATTACTACACCAAAGGTTCCAAACAGTGCATCACAAATTTGAAGTGAACACAACAATAACGGTAATTCTACAAAGTAAAATCTGAAATCAGCCAGGATATTCCCAATACTTACTATTGTTCAATACAATACAACATAACACAACAATAACGGTAATACTACAAAGTAAAATCTGAAATCAGCCAGGATATTCCCAATACTTACTTCAATTGCAGATATACTGAAAGTATTATTATCCCAAATGATTCTTTGGGTAATTTGATTAGTGTATCTTGTTTCATATGACATTAACGAGTTGAAGCAGTATGATGAATAAATCAACATCAGGAATATTTTAATTGTTTTTGAAAATTCAATGGTGTTGCTGTTGATGATAATAAATATATAGTGGCAGTGTTTCTACACTTCAAAAGGGCATTTGAGACAATTTATATTACTATCCTACTAAAAAACTCAAATATTATGGAATTTCTGGTTCAGTACTTGAATGGTTTGAAAGCTACCTCTCTGGTCGAACTCAACAGACTGAAATTAACGGGATATATTCAAACAAAAAAAAAGTGTCAATAATGGTGTACCTCAAGGTAGTGTCTTGGGCCCGCTTCTATTCGTTCTTTATATTAATGGTATCAACTTCATTAATGGATGTGAATTCATCAACATATTGCAGATGATACTCTGATTGCAGTGAGTGAACCTGAATTACAAACAGCTATCAATAAAATTAATGATATTTTGATCAGAATATCTGAATTCCTCTACAATAATAAGCTCATGTTCAATGCCAATAAAATGAAAGAAATTATTATTACAACAAAGCATAAACATAATTCAATTAAAAAAACATCTATAAGTGTAAATATATACAATTAAAAAATTGAAATTGTCAAGGAATTCAAATATTTGGGGTTCAACGTGGATCAAACACTGAATATGAAAAAACATTTCAATTATATTCGCAGTAAAATGGCTAAAAAAATATTTTTATTTGGCCGTGTAACCAGTTGCTTACCGTTTCAGACTTCCATTACAGTTTTCAAATCAATCATTCAACCCCATTTCGATTACTGTGCTACTTTACTATCACTTCTGTGAAAAACCGTCTGTTCTATCTGACCATGGTATTCATCTTCAAAATACTGTCCGGTAATGCCAAATTCATAATTACCCCACTTGGGGGAATACTAATTTATATGTAACACTTTTGAATTATACACGATCCATGAACTCCTTATTTCATAAAAGACTATTGGACTAAAATAACCTCCCACTTGAGATAAAACAAAGTGAATCAATTATGACATTTAAAAAAGAACTTACTAGTCATTTAGAGACACAACATCCACATCAACATTGATATTATAATAACATATATATCTAGTATTTGTAATTAATTGTGTATTTGTGAAATAAAGAATATTTTTTTACTTATTTTGCTATGAACGTAAATGAAATGACTTTTGAAAGTAATAAAGTTATCTATTTTGAAGCCAAGATATTTTATTTCTTGCACTATTTCAATGTTTTCATTATATATTCATATATTTATGTTATTTACGTTCATTTGGCTATATTTGTATTTTGAAGTTATTATCATGGCCTTGGTTTTGAGAGTATTCAGTTCGAGCTTATCAATATTCAAAAAATTAGTGATAATTTCCAAACATTTGTTCATTTTCTCTATGGCCTCATCCAGGTTCAAACCGTTGATAGCTACGAGAGTATCATCAGCAAACAAATTAATGTGTGATACCGGTTTGAAATTTATAAATAAACTTGATTGAATGATTTGTTGAAAAAAAATTAACCTACCTTTTCCTTGTCCAGAACCTTGAGCAATGGGTATAACCTTTACTCCTTGAAGGGCCTTGATATTGATAGCTGTACCTTGGAACCCAGCAGGTAACAGTATCTGCTGTGCTACGATCTGCCCTCCTTGTCCTTGACTGGCCAAAACCACCCTCTGCGTATTGGCGGCGTTGCTGGTTTGCAACCTGACCTGATGTCCGCCCAACACGATATGACTCTGCGATATTGCTTGTTGATTGCCGACTTGGCCACTTTTGGCTGCCGTAAACACCACTTGCGGCTGCTGCATCTTGACTTGGGATCCGAACACAATATTCTGCTGATTCAGAATGTTCAGGCTGTTTGCGCCGCTTTGCTGATGAGAAACGGTATTTTTCACTGAGTTTTGCAATACCAAAGACGGCGCTGAGCTGGTCTGCGTCTGCAAAATAACATTCTGCCCCTGGAGGTTTTGGATCGTCCCGCCTTTTCCGCTCGCCAATAAAATCGGTTTGCCTCCCAAGTGGCTGAGGTTGAGATTTGCCGCGTTGACCATCCTGATGGTGTTGGTGTTGCCGGCAACGTTCAAAGTTACCGATTTCGAGAAAGGAATACCCTTCGCTCCGGTAACCTTCACCTGATTCTGTTGTCCTACCAACACTTTCGGTTGTCCCTCCAAACCTTGCACCAATTTCGTGTTTATCAGTTGTTGCCCGGTTTTAGGGTTGAGTTTTGTGAGATTTTGAGCCTTGCTGATTAATCTAGATGCAGATTTGGCTGTTGTCGCTGATGAAGTAATTGTCGTTGATTGCGAGGCTACAAGTTTCGGTTGACTTGTTAATGTGAGAATGCTATTTTGAGATCCTACTGTATATTGTGTCAGACTGTTGGGTTTGGTGGTTCCTGTAAGGTGAATTAAATTCTGCTGACCACCTTTTCCGGAGACCCTTAATGTTGTACCTGAAAGTACAATTTTATTTAAATAACACAAACTCCAATTTTCAAAAACAGATATATGAATTTAGAGGTAATTTATAGGAGATTTGTTCGAATTGGCTCGATCTATGTGAATCATCATGAAAACTATCTAATACAAAAAAAATTATATTCATGAAGGTAAACAAATGATAATCGTATCACAAGTGTGCCACATGAGACTGTTGGACCATAATATATTGCTGCAAAAACTTGAAAGTAAACAATTAACCAATCTGATAATCATGTATCATTATTCATTGTTGATTTTTGAAGGAAATGTATTAATCAGTTTTTCACTAGTTCGGACTTCCATTGTCTACTATATAAAATGATTTGAAATCCCTGAAACAACTAAAAAAGAAGAATTAAAAATAAATAGCTGAAAATAACAATTATATTAATCAAAATAAACCTGAAATGAAATAATAGGGAAATAAAATACAAGTAAACATAGAACAACTGAATAAATAAAAATAAAGAAATGACAAAAAAAATAAAAATAAAGAGTGGAGAGATTCCAAGTCACGTTAGTTCACGACGTTTCGATTGTTAGTATCTACAATCGTTTACGGGATGACTGGACTGATTCCTCCGAGAGATGACTATTTATACGTCGTTCGAGTACTTTCCCTTATCCCCGCTTTCCATTTTCCGCTTCACTGGTTCCGTGGGAGATGACCGTTTTGGCGGGAGTTTGCCATTTTTCGCATGATGATGAGTTTCCGTATGTTGCGTATTTCTACGCTGGCTTGGCTGAATACGTTGTTGGACAACATGTATGCGGCATCCTTGAATTTTCACCTACACCAATGTTCCTCTCTGTGCAAGATTTCAGCTTGGGACCACTCGATGTTGTGTTGATGGGTCCAAACATGGTTTGCTATTCCTGATTTGCTGGTTTTCCCAGCCACATACATGTTGTCAAACAACGTAATCAGCCAAACCAGCGTAGAAATATGCAACATATGGAAACTCATCATCAAGCGAAAAATGGCCAACTCCCGCCAAAAGGTCATCTCCCACGGAACCAGTGAAGCGGAAAATGGAACGCGGGGATAAGTGAAAGTACTCGAACGACCTATAAATAGTCATCTCTCGGAGGAATCAGTCCAGTCATCGCCCGAAGATGATTGTAGATACTAACAATCGAAACGTCGTGAACTAACGTGACTTGGAATCTCTCCACTTTTTATTTATTTATTTTTTTGTCATTTCTTTATTTTTATTCATTCAATTGTTCTATGTTTACTTGTATTTTATTTCACTATTATTTCATTTCAGGTTTATTTTGGTTAATATAATTGTTATTTTCAGCTATCCATTTTTAGTTGTTACAGGGATTTCAAATCATTTTATATAGTAGACAATGAAAGTCCGAACTAGTGAAATTCATCAGCAGTTCAAAATCCACTGAAAAACCATTTCATTCATCATTATTACACAAGAATATTTCAGGAATTACATTCACGAATACCAAAAATGGAAATTGGGAAACGTTGCACCTTGCATAATGCGATGATTCATAATGATGCTCAATATGGTTTCAGATCAATGAGGTCTACCTCACAAGCAATGACGGAAATTGTTCACACCATTGCCTATAATAAAGATTTGGGTATCAGCACTCGCTTACTTCTTTGCGATCTATCTAAAGCATTTGACAGTGTTTCACATGACATAATATTGAGAAAACTTGAAAAATATGGTATTAGAGGCATAGCATATGACCTAATACATTCTTTTTTGACAGACAGGCTGCAATATATATTATATAAGAATGTAAAATCTGATACTCAAATTGTTAAGCATGGTGTATCTCAGGGATCCGTACTTGGTCCCCTTTCAGTTATTGTATACATAAATGATATTCCTACATATATTGATACAGCAGATGTTTTTTTTATATGCCGATGATGCAACTTTTGTCATAAGTAACCAACAAGTGGGGAAACTAGATCAGTTGTCATGTGAAACACTGGCAAAATGCGAAACACACTTTAGCGCTAAAGTTCTATGCTTGAACGCAAATAAGACTCAGGAAATAACCATTGCAAATAGATCTCAAATGTCTGACATACGACATCATTATGTAAAAAGCTCTCAAGGTGTCGCTACGCATTGAGAGGACTAAGGAGTTCAGTTTCGAACGATGTGCTGAGAACTGCATATTTTGGCATGGCTCATTGCCACATAAACTATGGAATACTGATATGGGGTGCTTCCTCACAAACAAGTGAAGTATTCATTATCCAAAAAAAAGACAATGAGAGATTTAGAAAAAGTTGATTCCAGAACCCATGCTAAACGAATCTTCATAAAATGGGTCATACTTACATTACCTTCCATGTATATACTAGAAGCAGTATTGTTTGTACATAAAAATAAATATAAATATAATAGTGGCTCCAGCATTCACAATTATGATACAAAACACAAAGATATCATCAGGCTACCGAAGATGCATTGTCAAAACACAGCCAAACAATCGGAGTTTCTTCCCATAAAAATATATAACACTTTGCCTAGTGAAAGGAAAGACCTTCATATCAAAGAATTGAGTTCAAAGTAAAAAATTCACTTGTCAACCAAGGCTTCTATAAGATTGATGAGGTATTCAATTGTCCGTGGACCTATATTGTGAGTTATAACTATTGTGAGATTTTATGTACTGTATGTATATTTTTTATATTTTCAGTATGACATACCTAAGCAAATTTTGTTATTGCAGATATTTTCTAATGTAACAGAAATTGTAATTTGAGGTCAATAAAATTTCTTTCTTTCTTTTTTTCTTAATAAATTGCCAGCTAAGTTTAAAAACAAGATTTGTTTTGAAACTCACAGTACATGAATAGTATTTTCACATTTATTTTCGAAAATGTTTATATATTTTCACACACATTTTGAGTTCAAGTTTCCTATTATAAACAGCCAATGTTCCTTGTGGAAGTTGAAATAAAGTTTATTTATTTATGTAAGAAACAGAGAATAATGAGGTAATAATTAGGTACAAGAAGACTATCATGAAATTGAAACTTGTTCTTTGTTTTTCAAAGATTTTTTACTATATTGTGTTGTCATCATAAACTTTGTTTCTTGGGAACAATAAAGTTGAGTTTTTTATAGTCATTACAATTTTTGGTAAGAAGCAAATTTGAAGATTTATAACCCCAGAAATAAGATGCCTAAGTAGATTACAATTTTGTGAGAATTAATGTACCCAAAGATGAATTCGAAATTATGAGGCTGCAATCACTGCAACATGTTAAGTAAACTTCAAGAAATAACTCCATTACTTACCACAACTCAAGATATCCTAATAGTAATGTTATTGAAATGAACACAGACCATGTTATTCAACACCTTGAAAGGATTTTTTAATGTTTTCAATAAAAAGTATATATTCAGCTTCGATTAGATAACTAATGATTTTTTTGTCTTATCGTAAGTATTTAATTGGTTGCTTTGTATACTGATATGAAAATATGAAACGTGTAAATAGACTTTCTTACGTAATGTGGTTACACCTGTGTGGGAATAAATAAATAATTTGATAACAATAAAATTACACAAAGAAAAAAGTCTGTGTGTACAAGTTTCTCACCTTGGGCTAACGAACTATGTTGTTTTTGATGGGACAATAGACTTTCCACCGATATAACCTGTCCAGCAGCATTTGTCAAAACTTTAGCAACAACCGGTCCTTGCGAGGAAGATAGCTGTTTGCCGGTGTTGTCTGTAAAAAAAATTTACTTTTATTTATTTAATCAGTTAGTGATAAATCTATTTAAAGACTGAATACATTCTTTTGGATAAGTTCCAAATGAAAGTTTTCATTTGCAGTGCCAAAGCCATATAATCTGCACATTTGCCAGAAATAAACGGTAATGCATAAAATAAATCAAGCTAGGTGTAGGTGAATATTATGCATCATTCATATTCTGAGAATTACCCCAGTAGTCAAGAAGTCTTGCATGGCTTCTATAAGTTTTGATAAATAATGACTGGGATAAATGGATGGATGTAGCCGTTACTAGTGGTAGGAAATCATAATGAAGAAAAGAGGATTGAAACTTTCTATGTTTTTTACCACTTTTATTTGTAACTAACGTTTACTGTTGTTTCGTCCTATAAGGACATTTTTAAACTTTTACATTAACGTATAAATTTTTGAACTTTTCTTCATAATGACTGGGATATTTCCTAACCAAACGACATATAGTAAGAATAATGATCTTTATCAATTACAAGAAACAGGAATATTTATAACTAAGGGATAGCAGACTATGACACATTTTCATTTTCGGAAAAGTGACCTCTATATGCAAAGGTCATAAATTCCTGTACAGCCTTTGATAACTATTTTTAAATATATGAGCATCATTTATTTGTTATGCCTTATGATTTAGTAGTGCATAGGTCTTTATATGTTAGATTAATCCTCTACCCTTAAACCCTAGTTCATTTATACTTGTATGACATTTATACTTATAAGACATCTGAAAATTTCTATAATTTCTATATTTCTTTGGGTCATTTTGATTGATATTTGAAACCTTATGGCAATCAAATTTTTCAATTGTTAAAAGTGAGGATTACTGTTGAATTCAGCTGCAAACAAACATTTCGTTTACAAAAGTGTGAGTTGTTACATTTTCGTATTGGGGATTTCAAGTGGTAGTTATCACTTCTCGAGTGATTTCAAACCTGTAAGGCCCTTCAAATCATCATTAACGTTAAAAAAATTATAAAAACTCATGATGCAATATATTTTAGACTGATTTAATTTTTTTCAATTTCATAAAATAAATGCATATAAAAACCCATTATACATAGACTACAATGACTTGTAGAAAACTATCCAGTACTTGCAGATAGAAGCCAGATGAAAGCTTGAAACGCAATCTCAGATACATTATGATAATGAAAATGCCAGTGTGAATTCAATTATGTTGATTTTCTGAAAACTTGTACACGTAAGACGCTATTTATTAGTATTTTTGATAATTGCCATACTGAGCAAAGTCGATTATATCTTCCTTTACAAAGAAGCCATCTATCTAGCAAAACAACGTTTGTTGGGTCAGCTTTCCTTGCCAATCTATGCCTAAGCGCTCCGTCGCCGCGTAACCATCTATCAGTCTAACCTCAAAACTTATCACGTGCACGTGCGTACGTATTTACCTGTTGTTCTGAAGTGAAAATAATGTGTAGTTGAAAATGTCAAGTAAACGGAAACACAAGACACTACTTTTTTAATTATGATTTTTTTCTCTATAATCCAGTAATACGAACATTTCAATAATCCGGCACCCTCTGGTTTTTAACAGTGACGGATTAGTGAAATTTTACTGTAGTTGAAAACCAGAGCCCAAACACGAGGAATTCATGATTCAACACTGTTGATTGATTGTCCGCAGTTGGTTTCTGATGGTGAATTCGTTTGTTTTGACTGTTTTTTCGCAACCAAGTGTTATATATCCTTTACATTTAGCTGTACTGTAACTAAGGCTATTTTCCAGAAACACGTGCCTGCGGTTTGCCTACTTCCATATGAGTGCTAGTCCGATAATTCTTTACCATTGATTTACACCATATCACTCAATATCCATCCTTCAGTTTTGTTTTACTTTGGACTTGGAGAACAGGCCTTAGCTAGAAGACAGCAATAACTCCACAAGGAAGAGAAACCGCCACAACCAGTACTTGTAACTTCCCTACATCACAGGATTATCGGAAAGGATAAGACGGATTGGGTCCAATTATAAAATCAGGACCTGCTTCAGATCTGGGAACACTATCCGTAGCAGCCTCAGGTAAACATTGTTAACCACCTTCAAACAAATGTTTATTATTTTTGTAATTGCAACCACAAATATCCTAATCACGCACAGCAACATAAATTAGCAGCTCAACACAGTATGAACCACAGTTTAATTAACATACTAATGTCCGCAGAGAATTTCAATAAGGAATTAAGCCTGATGAAACAAATTGCAGTGAATAACAACTTCAACCAAGTATATACCTTCACCTTCTGGAACCTTCAAAANAGACAATTCCAAAATTATTAAAATCAACCCATTCAACATTAAAGATGATAACCCAAATATATGGATAAAACAATATGAATTCATGGCCGTGTCCAACAAATGGACTACAGACGATCAGAAAATACATCATTTGAGATTCAACTTATCCAGTATTTCTCTTCATTGGTATGAACAAAAATTCAGTGAATCCTGATCATTTTCTTGGGAGGAATGGAAAAATACCTTCATGGTGACGTTTGATGAAGATAACATAACGAAATGGGATAAAGCTCTGAATTATGAACTTCGTCAAGAAACAATTCTTGAATATTTTTATGAAAAACAACGGTTGTTATACTCAAACAGACAATTCTCTCTCCGAAAATTTAGTTATTTCTCTATCGATATTAGGGCTTCCCTACTACATAAGGAAACAAATATGCCATAAAGACATAAAATCAAGAATAGAGCTACTTTTACTTCTGAAACATCATGCAACACATGAAAGAAACATGACAGATTTTCAAAATACGAGATATCCAGTAAATAACAAGCAAGAAAATAGGAACGGTCGACATTCTGAACAATGCAATTACAATCAATGTGATGAGTTTGTTAACAATGACGAAATTCAAAATTTCGAATCATACACAGTATTTTCTTCTTCAAATTCAGAAAATCATGATGACATAGAAATTTTGTCCATTCATGGGCATCAATTGAAAATATTATATGACACTGGATCTGATATTGATCTCATCAGTGAAAGAGTTGTGAAAATATTGAACTTACCATATTTCAATACTAATGTTAATATAAGAAGTTCAGCTGGCATAACGAAATGTTATCATAAAACGATATTTGATTTGAAAATCAGAGAAGAACACATTCGAATTAATCCTATCATTGTGGAAAATTTGTCATTCGACATATTATTAGGCAAAATTACATTGAGAAAACTAGGATTATTCAACAAGGCAAAATTTTCCGAAGAGAATTTGAAGAAATTATTTCCTCAAATAATGAATCCATCATTTTGTTCTTGTAACTATGAAACAGATTTTACTTTGAGAGAAAACTCGAAAATTATAAAATTGAAACCATATAGATTTTCTATGTATGCCTCACCTTGCGTTATCAAAACAAAGAAGGATGGAAATTATAGATTGTGTAGGTATCGATTTTCGACAAATCAATATTGAAACTGAATTAGATCCTTTTCCATTTCCAATGATAAATGATTTAATTGAAAAATTTGGTGGTTGTAAATATTTCACTAAAATAGATTTGAAAGACGCATTTTGGAGTGTGAGCATTACAGAAAAGAGCAGAAAGTTTACAGCATTTTTAACGGAAGAGGGGCATTATGAATTTCTCAGGTTATCATTCGGATGGAAGAATTCAAGTGCAAAATTTCAGAGAGTCATTTAGGATGTTCTTGGTGATTTATTGGACGGAAATGTAGTAGCATATATCGATGATATTGTTTGTGGAGGTTACACTATGGAAGAATGTGAAAATATTACTTTAAAAATTTTGAAAAAATATGATGGAAATAACTTCAAAATAAACTTCAAAAAATGTTCTTTTTGTGTACAACAAGTGAGTTTTCTAGGTAGAGAAAAAAAACTTGTAAGACGTGCCAAATAGCAAAATTCAAATATTTACCAAAATAAGGAAATACCAAAAACGCCAGAACATTGGAAAAGAGTATATAACGAAAGGTCCTTTCAAGATAACAAGAGTCCATTTCATCGATGGGATAGTAACATTCATAAATTTCGACAATGATGGATGACCAGAGTCAGCTCATATTTCTAATATAAGGAAGTTTCATCATAGGGGTGATGACTTTGAAGAGGGGAAGCTTTGTAGTATATGAACACTATGTATACCTACTTCTTTTTCATATATTCTTATTACCATGGTGATATAGAAAAACAAGTATTGTAAAATTGTTAACTTCCATTTTCTAAAACAGGCGGAAGTCCAAACTTATAACGTTCAAGAAAAACCTTTTCAGCCACTTTCAAACAAACCTCTATATTAGTTTCAGGATTCTTGTTTATTTACTTTGTATTTGTGAATTGTAATTGACACTGACTGTTGAATGAAAAAAATTGAATAGTTCAGGCTGGGTTTTGTTATTGTTTAGCATCATCCTTTGAAGATTTGGATTTGTATTGTTTTTTGTATTCCCCACACTAGTCTACAAGTATACTTATACAGTTAGGTATATATTCTGTAAATGAAATATCATTCATAAAGAGTACAAATAATTTTCTCATAGGTTCCCATTGAATTTTTACAAACATAAAAAATTCTCACCTGATCCAATCTTTTGTTGCCCCACAACTTGTACAGTCATAGGGTTAGATGGTTTCTGAACCTGCAAAACACCGCTCTTTTGCTTCAAAATAATCTGCTGTTGAGAATTGGCCAACAGACCAGCATTTGGAAGAATTTTCTGTTTGATTGTCTGCAAAATTTGTTGTTGCTGAGCCTGAGTTAGATTCCCATGAGTTTTAATCTGCACCCCAGGTTGACCAATCATCTGATCTGATTTCGACACGGCTACAGTCACAATATTACTCTGGTCATTCGGAGACTGGGGAGAAACACTTCCGATAGGAGCGAGACTGACATTTGAACTGGAAGATTGTCGTAACAATGTAACGTTTTTGATGTTTTGCAACTGTTGGGGCGTTATACTTTGCAGTATTTGTTGTTGGACGCTGGCAGGAACCTTAATTTTGTCTTGTCGGCTGTCCGACGATTCACTCATCTTCTGTTTCTGCACTAGGATTTGTTTTTGTTGGGCCGCAATTGTTTGAAGAAGCTGTTGAGTGACGACTTGATTCATTTGTTTTACGGGTGTACCGCGCTGCTCCTGAATTTGTTTTATTATATGAGGGTTCGACGTGGGTATGATCAGTGATTTTCCTTGTGATGGCGATAGAATTTTTACAAGACTTTTACCTGGAACGTAATAACAAAAATACATTTAGTGAGTATCATACATTATTTCTAGGAAATGAGAACACGTGATTTGCTCAAGTGATCTTATATAATTCAGATTATACAAGCTAACTTAAGCTTGATAATGTAGATTTGTTTTTTTTTCATTGTAACCAGTTTATATTGTCACTAAAGATACAAATTAATAATAATATCATAAAGTTTGTCATTATTTACAATACAGGGTGATTCCATTTACCCAAAAAAAGAATCTTATCGAATAGAATATTCACCAAATTATAATAATGATGAATTTATTAATCTCAAGAAACATTACATGTTTATAGTAGGGATNAAAGACAAAAAACTATGTATGAATTGAAAAACCTGATTTTTTACAAAATTGAGGAGTGCCATGATTTGTTAATAACTTCTTTTTCTTTTACTACAGTGCTTGTGCATTTTCATAACAAAAACTAGAATATATCCTCATTGAAATAAAATAAAATGTAACAAATGTTATGTTTACCATATGCCAGTTCAAAATATTGTATATTTTCGTAACACTAATTTACTTCAGTTGAAAATTTATGCTTTGTGTAAAAAAATTTATAATTTGTTTTCAATCATTATGAGATTTATATGAATGATAAAACTCATCATCCAATATCCTACAATGAATTTCAACTTTGAACTTTTATATAACCATATGAAATAAAAGTTTTTCGTTTTTTATTAAAAAAATATCTTTTTCCAATTCAAATATATCTACTTTACCATTGAATTCAAAAAATATTCTGATTATTTATACAAATAAAATCAACAAACAAAAACATTTAAATTATGTTCCTTGGTACAATATTAGGTATATCTGAGTTTGTTGAAAGTTAATTCGTTATGGAATATCCAAGAATTCTCTAAATGGTATATTAAAAAACACAGTACCTTTGATAGTCGGGCTAGACACCCTATTCTGTATTATCGCCTGAAGAGCCTCGTTGATTTCCTTGTCTTCCTTTTGCTGCTTGATACTCAAATTCGAAGCAGCTGCTAAAGGCGGCGGCTCATCAGAAATGACAGAAGTCGACTGTATGAGTACTTCCTGCGACTGTTTAGGCATGTTGTTGCTCAAAAGTAAACTGGTGCTCTTCTGAGGAGCCGTCATTGTAATCAGGCTAGGCACGGGCGGAGAACTTTGAGTCAGAGTACTCACCAACGAGGATTTTGGGTTTGGCAGGGGTGTTAGACTTGGTCTGCTTAAAACCTTAGAACTTGTTTCTTCGAGAGGGGGCGGTGATGTAGAAAGCTGTTGGGGAATCTCCACGGAAACTGGCTGAGCAGGTTCACTCTTGGTGACGGTTTTTATGTTCTTCTCAGCAGGTTGTTTCATTTTTGGTTTGGCTGGAGATTTCTTGAATGCTTGTTTTTTAGATTTGTTCAACCCTGCAAATATTTTAAAACAGAAGTGAAAAAAACCATGATCATTTCTTGTAAAATAATTCTTATTTAAATTAACCGAATAAAAGGAATAAATACATCTTTATACAGGAAGCTTACCAGAACCACTTTGAAATTTTTAATTTATTTTTAGGACAAATCCATCGTTTATTGCCTAACGATCAGGCTCTATTATTTAATTATTGAACAATTTTTTGCTTGATATTTGGACTGTTTTCGGCATTAATGCTGAAATAACTTAACTTGGAAATATTCTTAAGAATATGAGTAATTGAAGATAAATGGTGTAATAAATCAGGCTAAAGAATGCAGAATTATGAAAACGAAATGACATGTTTTATTCAAATAGGGGGTTACATCCAAATATACAACAATGATAATAATGTTAACATTAATATACATATAAACACAATATTAAAAAAAATACTTATATTTGTTAATAAGTACTACCTACAATAAATAAAAATATAAAAAAATACATAATAATTTGGTATCACCTTAAATGATTTAATGAAATCCTTTTAAACGGAAAAAGACTGGTAGAAGACTTTATACTTGATAAATCCTTTAAAAATTATTGTTTTAGTGTTAAATGTTTTTGTTTGATTATCTACATACAAATTATTTCTTATTCTGGTATTATACAGGTGGATTTGATTATTAAAAATCACAAATTTGTCAAAATATGAAGGTAGAAGTTTATGCAACATTTTGTGAATATATATCATCGTTAAATATGTAAGCTTACTTTCTTATTTAACATTAAATATATCATGGTACTCCTGTTACACCTCAAAATAATCATCGTGTGATTCTGTTGTTTCTGTAGTGGTCTCATTTTATTTAAATCAGTTGTGTATAGAAGAGTGAGACAATATTTGAAATGTGGTTGTATAATGGTCTTATATTCTGTTATTCGTCTTTGATTGACGACTTGTTTATTTTGTGGAAATTCATGTTCAAATTTTTCACGATAGTGGAAAATAGACAAAAGTGTGTTTTTATAGTGTATCCTCAGTCACTGTTATTCGTGATTGCATAGTTATATGTTGGGACATTCTTGTGAAAAATATATAATTTTTTCACTTTTTTTTGTTCTAAAGTTCACTAATATTGTAAATGTATAAAATATGTTCAGTTTATTTCATGCACAAAATAATATACTCAAGCTGACTAAACATGTTAATTTCCTACCTTGATAATGTTGATGGATCCTATCGAAATCTTCTTCAGATCTATTCCTGTGCAGGTAAATCCATATTTTCTTCTTCTGATCATACTTAACACAAGGATCCCATTGTGTATGCATTCTATCTAGAGCCCCAGAAACCACTGACTGCAAAAGATTATCTGTCGCTGTATTCGATATATACTGCGAAGACTTCAAAAGTTCGCAAATCTCTGCCCTGGTACCCTCCCCGTTGGGCAGCCTAGCGGCAGCATCCCTAACTAAGGAAAGAATCGTGACAAAATTAGGCCGATCTGCAGACAACATGGTATGACCTCTAGCTTTAGTATTTCCTACTGCAGGATTATACATTCCCTTCAAAGGTCCGACCACAGATTCATAATTATTGCATCGATAAGTGAAGGCTTTGTGTGGATTATCGTATCTTCTTCTCTCTTGCTCTCTAAAGTCTTTGATCTCTTCTGGCGTTGCCTTCCGTACAGTCCAAGTTGTGGGGAATCGTGGTGGTGGTGGTGTACTGGACCTATCTATAATATCAACATCGATTTCACCATCCTTTTCTGGAGACGTATTTTTGTTCTCTGATTTGTGTTCAAGCCAAAAGTTGCAAAGAGAGCTGAGTAAAGCATCAGAGTCGCGCCCTGCTCCTATCCACTGATACACGTCTAGGGAGGATTTATATTCCATATAGGGTACGAAGTCGTCGGGTTGTTCTGAAGCGTTTCCACAAAGGAAAGTTATTGCCGAGGGTAGTATACCAATCCAGTTATCCGTATAGCTATACCAGTCATTCAGAGGACTTATCGGATTCTCTTGCCACGCTTTCAAACGCTCCTGCAAAGTATACATGTTCATGCGGTGTTCATTTGTCGAGCAGATTACATCTCTGATCAAGGAAAAGAAATTGGCGTGAGTGTCTTGCATTAGCTCTGGCTTGTTACTCAGCTCTAAGATGTCGATATCGGAATTGTCTAGGTCTATAGGGATGTTCATGACGTCGATGCCATCTAAATCCTCAATACAGGCAGGCGTGATTTTACCGTACTGAATGATGCTGTTTACGGACTTTAGCACATTAGATTTGGGGCAGACTGGTTTAGACACACTAGCTGATTTTACCAAGGGTTCTGGTGTTGTGGGCTCTTTCTTTACATCCACTTTTGCTTTAGGAGTAGGAGTTCTCCGTGACGAGCTTATTTTATTTACTTTAGTACTTACTTTTGGGGTATTGATGGAAACTGCATCTATCAAAGAGTCTGAATCCGAATCAGAATTAGTACTGGGCTCGTACATCACTTTTACCTTATTATTAAACAGATTTTCAGGAGACTTCCTGTAATTGATATTCTCTTTTTTATTTCTCTTTTTGCTAACAACCTTGTTTTCTAATTGATGTTTCATTACTATTGGTTGGTTTTTATTGTAAGGCAACTGTGTTCTATGTACAATGTCGCTCAAAACAATTCCCTTCGTGTTCAGTTCAGGATCTTCCGGGTTCTCCAACTTCCGTTTTTTGTGTTGGTGAATCATATTTCTATATGATTCATCGTTCATGTAAAATGGATTGTAGTTGGGAGTTATGTACTTTTCTAAGTCTAATGAAAACCCATTCAGTTTGGCTAACATTGTTGAATTGAAATATTTTTCCTTCGAATTATTCAAACTGCTCCTCACACTATTCAAATGCCTTTTTTGTTTTCTTGACATGGAAACTGGAGGTCCTTCTGGGTAATTTTCATCGGAGGAACATCCAGCATCGTCCGTTTTTAACTTAATTTGAGATAATATTTGAAAATATCTCCTTTTTGTTCTATGGGATACATAATCAATGTTTATTTTTCTTTTCTCTTGCCGCGGTTCAATACCAGGAGGTAAGTTTCTAATTTGTTTAATTAATTTATTTTGAGATTCTAATACTTCATATTTGAGCTGTTCTCTAAACGTTTTGTACCTGTATTTTGCTTCCTTTCGCTCTGCTTTTTTGATTATGCCACGCATTCGTGCTATGTCTGGTCTAAAGTAACCTGCTTTCAGATCATCATGAAACTTAACCAAAGGACTGTTGAATTTGAAGGGTTCAAAATCAAACAACCTCTGCAGTGTTTTTGTTTTTTCCAACTCATCATTTTCAGGAAAATTTGGTAAAAAAGTCTGCAGATGTTGTCTGTTTACATCAGAGAGTGAATTCCAGGTCTCAGTGGAAAATATCTCTCTGAAAATATCTTGTCTTTCACACAATCCTTGAGGAAGCTGGATTTTTACCCCATTGATTTGAGCTGTTTCCATTCCATCATCATCAGAACTTTCTGTACTATAATCTGATGAAGTGTCCTCACTGCTAGTATTATTCATTTCTGTGTTGTACTTTTGCCCTGCAGAATATCAAAACATTAAAAAAATGCATTCAGAGATGAAATTGACTGTTGTATAGGTTCATGACCTCTCTAATAGAGATTCAAAAGTTACATTTCCCAGCTATAATTTTAGATCATTCCTGACTGAAACAATTTCCATAACCAACCAAGGTCACCTTTAATATTCACGACTTATACGATCAAAATTGAGTATGTTCATTCAGACATATTAATTACTCAATTTCTCATGATGATAGAGGTCCCATCAATAAACAATCGGGTTTGATTCGAAAAAGGAGGGGGAGGGGACGTGAAGACATTTTTAAAAACCAGCGGTACCCACCTTTGTTGCTAAGCTATGTTTTATCCAGAAATATCGACACTACACTCACTTTAAACTGGCCATACACAGGCACGCCTGCATTGCGGATATAGATATACCAAAACAACGCATATTCACGTCTAACGACTCGCCGCGAAACCATTTTGGTAGAAGCCATCAAGGCTGAAACCCGATCTTGATAACAACAATTTCACCATGTTAACGAGTCTGACATCGTATATTTGGTATGTCATTGGTGAGTTTATTTTACCAAAAGTAAGTATTTGAAAAAATGAACTCATTTGTTTCTATTAAATTTTGATATTTCTTGAAATAAAATCAAGAAATTTCTACTTTTAACCGAATTCTGGGGGCACTTTACATGATTTTGTTGGCTCGCCTGCTTATTGACATAAATCGACTCTGTTCCTTTCTATATGCGTCTACCGACGGGTATACCGAAAATGCATTAATGCGACTAACTGATTCTTCTTATTAAACTTAGAAATTGTATTGAAAATTGGAATCGGTTAACTGTAACGACCATCCAAAGATAACAATGATAGTGGAAGTCGAAAAATAATGAAAATAGGAATACGAATAAAAATGATCTTTCACTCATATTCGAGTCTAGTTTTCGAACGTTGGAAGGTTAGATTTTCTTGATCATTAACTCGTACAAGTTCAACTTTTGAGATTTGTAGTTCGTGAGGGGGAGCAATAGCTGGTTAACGAAAAAAGAGATTGTTAACAGATTGCACGAGTCTTAGAGGGTCACAACAGTCGTAATCTTAATAAGATATCAGTTCACAAGTTATGTGTGCAAGTTGAAGGCACACAGCAGACAGATACTTAGGTATATATATTTTGCGAAGAAGGCTTTTATGATTTGTATGTAGTAAAGTGTAGTAAAGTCTTGAGTCTATTGACGATTATTCCAACTTTCAACTTTGTTAGTCTATGTTATGGATCTATAATCCCTAATTACTCACAAATAATCGATCACTAACACATTCAATATCGCCAAATTGAGTTCTTTCCAATGACGTCACGAAATGTCTCTTATTTCTCGTATCCATTTATCTAACGTTGGCTTCATTTCATAGCTCCTGCTATAAACCAATTTTTATAATGTTAGTACCCGGCATTCTTCAAGAATATACGCAGGCTTTTCGCAAACCCAATAAAAAAAAAAAATTGTAGAAGCGGAACACACCCCATTTTATGAATGGCCTGACCCGTTACTTGATGAAAATTATCAACACTATCCATGATAATTTTTACAAACATGTTTTAATTCTTCACGCGTTTCGCTAACACCGCAGCCACATCGATAAAAAAAAATTACTATGGTCTAGAATTAAAAAATGTTTGTGAAAATTGGTTAATCATTATCATGGATCATGATTGTCACCAATTACAGAAGAGTTGCGCCTGCGCTCAGTTTTGACTTTTTGAGCCGCAATCGGCTAACTGTTCAATGTAGTCGCACAGTCGAGTTTTGAAAAGTTTTGTGCGAGTGTACTTCAATAAACAGCTGGGTAACTATTTTGAACCATTCCATATTCATTGGAATTGGGAACCCGAACAGGCCTTTGTCATCATTGTTTTCTATTCCAACTCTGTTTCTTTTTCTTTCAAACTTCAAGATGGCCCTCAACTTGCAGGTTAGGGTGCACCCAGTGGTTTTATTTCAAATTGTAGACGCATATGAAAGAAGAAATGCCGATTCACATCGAGTTATCGGCACTTTACTTGGTAAGTAAATGAAAACAACTTTCATTTTATACATCCAAAAGTCTATATATGCGAATTTCAATAACATGTGTTTCCTAACCTCTAAATGTTGCCAACATCTTTAATTGTATTTCGTTTCACTTTAGGCACAGCAGATAAAGGAGTCATAGAAGTGACAAATTGCTTCTGCGTACCCCATAAAGAGTATGATGATCAGGTTGAGGCAGAATTGACTTATGCTATGGATGTTTATGAACTGAATCGAAGGGTTAATTCCAGTGAAGCAATAGTAGGATGGTGGGCCACTGGCCATGAAGTTACCAATCACAGCTCCGTAATTCACGAGTATTATTCACGTGAATGCACAGATCCTGTTCACTTGACTGTGGACACCAGCCTACAGGGTGGCCGAATGGGTTTGAAAGCTTACGTTTGTGCATCTTTGGGAGTCCCTAATAGTAAACAAGGTTGTATGTTCACATCGATTCCAGTAGATGTTACATGCTATGATCCTGAGGTCTTTGGATTGCAGTTGTGTCAAAAAACAATGGGAACTGGGTCTGGCAGACCTAGAAATGTAAACCCAATGCTGGATTTGACTCAGGTTGCTGAAGCAGGAAGCAAGATGACTGCTCTCTTGGATCAGGTTCTTGGATACGTAGAAGATGTCTTAGCCAATAGAGTTCTACCTAACAATGCAGTTGGAAGGTCCCTCCTTGATTTAGTGAACTCAGTGCCACATATGAGTAATGAGCAATTTTCGGAAATGTTCAACAGTAACGTCAAAGATTTGTTGATGGTAGTAACTTTGTCGCAACTGATCAAAACGCAATTGCAACTCAATGAAAAACTCACACTGTTGACTTCACTTTGAATATTCTGTTTGTAATTTGTACTTTTTTCAAAGTAACAAAATCTACGTTAACTTTTAGAAGGAACATCTGAATGTTATAATAAGCATAAGCATTTCTGTACCTAATAAATTGGTTCAAAGATTCATAACGATTTTAATTTATATGAGATTTACAGATATAACCATTATTCGAGTAACACTTTGTCACAATATAGTGTGTGAATACGTTATCGATTTTCATCAAGTAATATAAATTTAGTTAGGTTAATTTCAGGATTTTGACTGGATGTGAACTTTTTTATAAATACTATTCTACACCTAAATGACACCCTTTTCAAGAGATCATGGAATATGAGAAAGTATAGTTTTGCTTAAGACCCAATTCCAATGATTTGAAAAAGTAATCTCCCATCAGCTAGGTAGAAAATATATCATTCTCAAACATAGATAATTCATTAGTTTTATCAAATGACATTATTAGGAAACAAATCCTTCATAGGTAAATGTCTTTGACTTTATACAGTTCTCATTATTTGAATATTATGTGTAATCTTTGACTCCTAAGTATTCACAGTGGAAAGAGATCAGCAAAAAGTTAATTGAGAACGTTCAAAATATATTAAAGAAATAACTCCATATGAATTGTTTTTTTTAATCTCCTATTATGTAAATTGATATCCAAAAGACGATTAGATATTTTACAGTGCCACACCTTTCACGTTTCATTCCCTTTATTTAAAATAATTGACGTATTTTATGTATATCATACCTATATTCCTGAATAAACAATTATGTTATTGAATTGGGTATGAATTTTATAAATTCATATTTGATATGAAATTTAGAGTCTATTTTGTTTGAATGCTCAGTCTAGGAAAGAAATAAGTTTTGGTTAAAATGCTTACTTTTTGTCTCCTATTTTTCTGAAAAACTAATTTGAGTTTACCGCCAAGATAACATAAAACCTCATACCCTTCATTATGCTTGTCTTTTTCTAAAACCGAAGTATATCTTTGAAAGAATGAGTTCGATATATTCTGGAATGTTCTACTGACATAATTATTTATCGACCTTCTTTTGGTCGAAATTTCCAGATCCGATACTTACACATCCAATGAAAATCTGTTTTGGTTTTCACGTGCCTTCAATCTAGCAATGTTATTGGTTGAATCTGAACGATGACGTTTGAAAGATCGCGCAAAAGAAGGACGTGAAATTACTTTGTGTTTGTCTGTTTTACTCTAACGATAGATAAATTCTGCCCGCTCGTAGTCATTTGCAAAAACGTGAAAGTGAAATTGTGCCGGTTCATTTTCAGAAAAATTCCAAGATCGAATCTATACTTTTGCAGTGGTGATAAACGACGCCGGTTATAGTTATTGGTACATATAGTTATACCGCATTTTTCTGTTCATACGGTTGCAATGTCTGTGATCGGAATTGACTTGGGAAACGAATCCTGTTATGTTGCCGTTGCAAAAGCAGGAGGAATCGAAACCATTGCCAATGATTATAGTTTGAGAGCCACACCGTGAGTAATCATAATTGCTTTAGGGATCAAATATCGAATAAATTATTCCATCTAATTGATACATGTGGTTGACATTTCAAAACAACCTTGATTAATATCGTGATCTCTTTACTGGAATTTACCTCCAAATTCGGAGGAATTACTCATAATCTGTGGGCGATTGCGGGTTCAATTTTTGGTTTATTTCTAGATCATGTATTGCTTTCTCTGGAAAGAATCGAATACTGGGGGTCGCGGCCAAGAACCAGCAGGTCACGAATATGAAAAACACCGTTTATGGTTTGAAACGCTTATTAGGTAGAAAATTCAGAGATCCCCATGTGCAAAAAGAAATACAATATTTACCATACACTGTAGTGGAGGAAAAGAACGGTGGAATTGGGATAAAGGTAGGTCATGAAATGGGGGCCACCTCCGTAAGTAAGTTCGGGAGTCTTGACTTTAGTCCAGTCTTTATATATTTTTATCATTATATAACTGATATTACTTCATATATTGGCAATCATTTGAAATCATAATAACTTATCCTTTGTTCTATTAGAGTTTCAATGAAAGGGTTATTTAAGATTTTACTAATTCAAACTATTCATAATGTTTATCCAGCTATACCTGATATTTTGGTAGATTTGACATCAATCAAAATGTAAAAGATATTTGATCTATTGAACAAATGTTTAAAAAAACTTTTTGACTTTTTACTTCTCCATTATTATACAGAAAGTGAGAAACTTCTGAAGAAAGTAAATAAATACACAAATAAAACTTTTCACAAATATGTATAGATATGCAAACGATATTTGAAATATGTGGTATGTTATTGGGCTGAACCAGAAGTTTGCCCCACCACTATTACAATTTTCATATAGTGGAAATTGAAAATTCCCAAAAGGCTAATGAAAGTATTTGTACTCTGAAGAAGAAAAATAATTTCTCAAATTTCATTGGTAATCACATACTTTAATTAAAATTGTTAAAAAGTTCATTATGATATTGAAATATAGTTTTTGATGGACTTTCTTGATTCACTATGAAATAATGAGAAGGCCTACAAAATACATGTAATAGTTTGTAAAACTTGCTTTGTTGATATTTTTCAATAAGCTGTAGTCTCCTTGATTTATAGTTTTCCCAAAAGAACTAAAAAATATATAATTTTCTAATTAACAAAATATTTAACCAAAGCAGGATAATTCCAATGAAAGGTAGAAAATTTTAACAAATTATAGCAAATTCATATTTTTGTTCACTTATCTATGTTCCAAAATCTTGCCACCTTTGATACAAAATTGTCTAATCTCACATGGGTTAGTTTTCAAATATGAATTTCAATTTATGTTTAAAAAAACTTATTCACTACTACTGTGGACAGATTCAGAAAAGTGGAAGGAAAGAAATAATTTAAAGAATTGTTAATGAATAATTTTATTCTCCGTTACTAAAGGTTTATTGATTTTGACCTTTTGCATATTGGATAGAATTTCATTTGCATTTGAGGGTTTTTGAAGGATCTGCATTAAGGCTAGTAGCCCTACGTCTCTTGTGATGTACTGTTTGGAACCTTTGGTCCAACACCAAATCGTTATTTTTACACCTCGACACGTGTTTCGATCACCAAGTGATCATCTTCAAGAGGAAGATAAAACTAAAAACTACCCATAACTAAAGCTACTTATACTAATCAGGTACGTCATACAGGTAGGTAATCAGTAATACCACCCATACAAGTGTACCACCCTAAATTAATTTTACAATTGGCCTTTCTATTAGTTTACAATATGTCCTTATGTATGTCTCTTGATGATGAAGCCGTAACTGCCAGTAGTTTTTGGCACATAAATAGAAAGGTCTTTTGTTTATGACATGTGTACTTGAAAGTTAGATTTTGAAGGCAAATAATTCTTGCTTTCGATTGATACTTTCCATGTACATATTTTATAAAAATAATGAGGATACCTAAAAATCAAACGGTTTATTGACCAATTACATGGTATCGAATATATAAATTTATACTAATATAATAATTATCCAAAGTAGATATAATAAAAAAAATAAGTATACAAACAAACTGTGTATACAGATAATAAATATGTATACATATATATACATTATATACATATAAATATACACATATGTCCCAAATTGGTAATTATCATGTAAAATATTGAAAAAATATATAAATAAAAATGTAAAAGTATAAATTTATTGAATAAGATTATTTACACAGAAGAATCCACAAAACTCAATCAATGAGTTTTTCAATTTGAGAGTATTACATGTCTTTATTAGACCAGGGAGTTTATACAAATTGCAAAAGAAAAATTATTTCTGTTTAAATCAACACTCACAGTTGGTATTGGTTATTTCAGATATGCTAATTTTTCTTGTTTGTATCTAAAAGTTTATCTACCTTTCCTTGGAAGTTACATATTTTATATTTTATATTTAGGATGAAAAAAAGGTTTTCTTCTTAATGGAGTTTTCTGCCTATTTTTTTTAATTTTCTAGTTTTTCTCTCCAAAAGAATATATTTTTCTGATAAAGATTTGCATTGTAGATTTCAAATGAATTGCCAAAGCACAAGAAAAAATGTGCTTGTTCTGTGTTAGTGATTGGCAAAATTGTTTACATTTCATTAATATTGAGGTTACCACTAATGAATCCTTTTTGACTCAACTTTTCATTTGTACTAGTGGCATTTTATTGTTATTATCATAATAACTTTTAAATTTTTATGAATTGTTTTTATACTTTTTTGAGTAAATGAGTTATAAATGCTGGCCTGTTTTGTCTATTCTGTAAATGTGTTTCTGTATAAACTTGTAATTGAAAATTGTATGATACGAACTCATTATCTCTGATTGTGGTAATGTTTTCCATAGTTCAAGGATTTGCTGATCATAATTATTGTTTACCTCTAGACCAAGTGTTAATTTAGTAACACGAGTTCTACTGCTCTCAATTATATTTAATCGAATGTTATAGGGCAACTGACAGTTTGGATACAATAGTATTTGAAAATTTTTCTATTAATAAGGTAAAACTAATCTGTTGTACTGGAAAAATCTGACTAATCTGAACACGTAAACTTAACTATCAATTTATCAATTTAAAAAATATATCATCAATTAAAAAATATATCATCAAATGAGGTCAATTATTAAGTGAATTAATTCAAAACATTCATAGGTAGCAGTGAAACCTTCTTTGCAGTTCAGTATTAGGAATGGTAATGTCCATGAGATTTATTTTTAAATTTTATGGAAATCCCATTTGTAGAAATCGGGTATCTTATAATAAATTATGAATAGAGTCATTATAAAAATATTACGTTGATATGTACAGCATTTAAAAAAAGAAAAAAGTCAAACATAACGATTGATCAAATTTATCCATGTATACATGTTAAGAGTATGAAAAATCGTGCCTTACTGGCATACACATTCAGAAAGATTTTATAGAGAGGAAACAACATTGTGTCATATTTATGATTGTTTTCATATTCATATTTCATTAAAATTGCAGTTTCTAGAAGGAAATTGTTCCGAACACATTTAATACATCAGTATAATTGTGATGATTAATAAGAAGGCAACTCAAATTATGTAAAAAGTTCTTAAAATCTCCAATAATTTCTGAAAATGTATGGGAATGAGACCTAAAATTTTCAGTCAAACATAATATACACAAAAATACATTTAGATTAAAAATGTGATGTATGATGATGAAGGAAAACGTCGTCACATTTTAGAAATCCTGGTTGATTATAATGAATATTCAATTTTTACTTTCAATTCTTTGGTACAGCAGCATTTCTATTCTTCAGTTATACTTCCATATATTTTTATGGAAACGTAACTGTTGGATGTTTTGGAATACATGCTTATAAATATTTTTGAACAAATTAGTGTATACTAATTCCACAAAAGGTCCAATGAGATTTTATTTTGAGCTTTTGGATTTTGACAGTTTCAAAAATTTTGAGCTATTCATTTTTTATTGCTAATCTTTTCAAATATGAACTAAACCACTTATTGCATTTATTTATTTTTTGATAATGGCCAGTGCTATTAGTAGAGGCCAAATAAAGTAAAAAACTTGAATCTGTAATGATGTTTCAACCTTCATATGACCATCTTCGGATCAAAGCCAGTAAGATATAGTTCTGAGGACAACCAAATAAAAGTCAAAACTTCATGAACAAAATTTTGTTGTTACCCAGTTTACAGTAGAATTGATCTAATAGCGTAAAAATACAATGTATAGAATTATTCATTGATGTAGTGTATTATACTTGACTCAAAATTTGCAAAAAAGGACAAGTACTTATAGATAATTGATGTTATATTCTACTACCAACTACTTTAAATATATATTTGATGTGCAGGTCAATTATTTGAATGAAGAATATAAATTTTCACCCGAGCAATGTTTGGCGATGTTGCTCACCAAATTGAAGGACATTGCTACTACAGCCCTACAAACACCCATAAATGATTGTGTTATATCTGTTCCTTCATATTTTACCAACAATGAAAGGAAGGCATTGCTCGATTCAGCATCCATAGCAGGTAAGTTGTATAATTTGTAGGTAATCCCAAATTATTCAATGTACACGTATGCTTGCAGGTCTCAATGTACTAAGGCTTTTCAATGAGACAACTGCTACAGCATTATCTTATGGCATTTATAAACAGGATCTCCCAGTTCCCGAAGAGAAACCTCGAAATGTAGTATTTGTTGATTGTGGACACTCATCTCTGCAAGTGTCTGCATGTGCATTCCACAAGGGCAAATTACGCATGATAACTACTGCTTCTGACCCTAATTTGGGAGGTAGAGATTTCGATTTGCTTTTGGCTGATAATTTTTGCAAACAGTTCCAATCCAAATACAAAATCGACGCTAGAACGAATGCAAGGTTGGTTCCTTACTATAAGCTAGATATATATTATTTAGTGAAATATTGACTAAGAATATTGTATAAAATGAATTGAATTACATGAAAAGTATAACATTCGAAAAAGATATGTTACACCTTTGTAGTATGAAATGATTGCATATTGAAATAATGTGCAAATTGCAACCATCGCACAGGAAATATAGTCTCTGGTTCCAACAAAGAATCTGAAATGTTATCATAATTTAAGAGATACGAGCACAAACAGTATCCCCCATTTTTTTTTTGTCGCATTCAAATTCAATAAACTATTGTCTTATATTTGTGATTTATCCTCTGGAATGTAATTTGTCTTTTATAGTGTTTTTATGTCTGGTACTTCCATTTTAATGAAAATACTGTCCCAACTCAAAATTTTATAAATTTGACTTTGTGTTTCATAATTTATAAAGAAGGGATATGATGGGAATTGATGTTAACGTATTTCAATAACACTGATATTTTCATTATAGGGTTTACAAAAGTACAATACGTTTTTTACTATGCAATAGTTTCTTCAGGCATGTTCATACTACTAATTTCTACCTACATCTAAATTTTAAAGTTCAACTCAATAAATATAAAATATAAATTATCAAAAAATTGATAACTTATCGTCTTAAAATATACAATACAAATAAATACCATAACATAGGTAAGCTAATTTTAAAAAATACTAAAAAGATTTGTCGATTTTCAATTCCATAAGGAAATAAATTTTACAAAGGAGAATTATTCAATTCTATTTGGTCATTGCCTAGTACAATTTAAAGTAGTTCCTCTAAAGTGAAAACCAATTCAACATTTATAAACCGTAGAGAGGCATGAGTTTAATTATGAATATGAAGTGATACATTTGGAAGTGTTTTTTCTTTAGTTATTCATTTTTTTTAACTAAGAACCGATAAGGTAAGTGTCTTACGGTGAAACATGTAGGGGAAATTTTACTTCTTTGATTGGTTATATTGTGTAGATATCCTGTGAATGATATCTGATTTGATCCCATACTAATGTTTGGAATATAAAAGGAATAGAGAAAAGTGTTTTTCATATAATTCAGCGTTCATATAAAAGTATTGTTATTATTAGTTAATAATAATAATTTAATGAAATTTATTGCTTCCTTCCTTCGGAAGATTCCCACATTTTTTGTATCAAGATGGAGAAGTAGAAGGCCAAAAACTTTCTTTCCAAAAATTAATCTCTCCTAAAAATATAACCTTTCAAGTTAGAAATGTTTGAAACTCAATCTTTTGTAACGCTTAGGAATCAATAGATTCAAGAGTTCAGTATTTCTATTCAATGACCAAATAGAATAGAATAATTCTCCTTTGTTAAATTTTTTTCCTAGTGTTGAAATTGGTAATTAGTTTATAGGTAAACTCAGGTAGTTTCAATTCAATGCCTGTACAATTAAATGAGTTTGTTCCTAGAATGTAAAATTATTAGTCATCATGCAAGTAGTGAAAGTCATAATTCAAAATATTGATGTATATAAAGCGCTACAGTTGTGATGACAAAACAATACACGGTCTTCATCAGTAAAATACTTTTTTGTATACATACAAGTATACAAAAAAGACAAAATAGTATACATTTACCTTCAATCAGAGAAAGCTTTTCGTTAGATGATAGCTTGTGCACTGTGCACCCAGTATATCCAAGAGAAACAGCTATATAAATGTGAGTCATTGGAATAAACTATTATCATCATTTGAATGTTTACATGTTTGCGTTCCTTGAAAAGTTTCAATTGTTTTGATTCTTTTATTGTACACAAGTGTCAGTTTATAAATTGTAGGCATTTCATATTTCATAGTGAGTAAATATTACATCGTGATTATAAATTATAACTTCAAATTGGACCTGTGTAATGTTCTGCATACTGCCATATTATAATTTTATTTATTTATTTACAGATAACAACAACAAATAATGCAAAAAGTAATATAAAAATACAAATTCCAATAAAAACATCCAGCCTGAAATAAATTCCCAAGGCAATATAGATTTAATCATTCACAGTTTTTTTCTTCTTCTAATTTTAAAAAAGTTCAAAGAACTACTGAACATTTTTAATACCCAACCAACATAATAGGCACATCTCTTCCTGGTCATTAACTCATTTTGACCATAATTATTATTATGAAAGGGAATTTGAAATAGGTTTCGTTTCTCTGTAACATTGAAATCAATTCATTGTCCCAAAATGGAAATTTTCATTGAAGTCAAAGTAAAACGTCATTTGAACTAATATTTTAACCTACTGGAAATAATTTGGGATATTGACTAATATTATGTTTTTAGGGCATTCTTGCGATTACTTACTGAAGTAGAGAAAATTAAGAAGCAGATGTCTGCAAACTCTACTACCTTACCTTTGAACATTGAATGTTTCATGAATGATATGGATGTGTCTGGTGAAATGAAAAGGGCCGACATGGAAACTTTAGCAGCCCATTTGCTAGAAAGAGTCGAGGTTACTCTTAAACAGTGTTTGACACAGTCTGGTGAGTTGTCTTGCTTTTTATAATTGTAAAAATAGTAATAATTTTTGTCTTTCAGGTTTGTCTATAGAAGAGATTCATTCGGTTGAAATAGTTGGCGGATCTAGCAGAATTCCTGCCATCAAACAGCTTATCGAAAATGTATTCAAAAAGGTTCCTAGCACTACTTTGAATCAGGATGAAGCTGTTAGTCGTGGTTGTGCTTTACAATGCGCAATGTTGTCTCCGGCCATTAGGGTCCGTGACTTCAGTGTGACAGATGTGCAAGTAAGTGATATTCCTATATTATTCCTATATTATTTGTATTGTTTTTTTTATCTGAAGAAACATTAAATGTTCATGAATAGGGATTAATTAAATTATCTAAAGATGCAAATTTAACAAAATGATGAAATATTGAACAAGAAAACAATAGTAATTAATATAAGCAGTCAACATTAAGTCATGAGTAAGTATAAAAAAAAAAAAATTCTATACTACTAGTCACGTTCCAAAAAATACCATGATTTTCATATTTTAATTTTCTATTTTAGTTACCTACCTTGTATTTTGTAACTTATCTTGAACGATGGAGTTTTATTCGGCAGATTTGAGTGTTATAATTTGATATGTAAACTCATCTAATTTTTGAAGTATTTAAAGAAACAGATCAGGTAACAAACCGTTTTCTTTCAGACTTACCCTATTTCTGTGGCTTGGGAAGGTAGCCCTGGAGGAGAATCAGCGGGAGAAATTGAAGCTTTCCCTCTCAACCATGCTATACCATTCTCGAAAATGTTGACTTTCTACAGACAGGAACCATTTTCGATTAGGGCTAGATATACCGGAAATATACCTTATCCTGATCACGATTTAGGTTAGTTAACCCTTCATACATGAGGTCTCTGATTTGAGTATTTCTGAATCACCTTTTAATATTTTGTAAATATTTTTTTTCAATCTGTCATATTTTTAAGGTACTTGGGTGATAAAGGACATAAGGCCGAATGCTGAAGGCAAACCGCAAAAGGTCAAAGTCAAGGTCAGAGTGAACTTGCACGGCATAATGACCATTTCCAGTGCGTCAATGTACGAAGCCAAAGAGAGCCCCGAACCTGAAAGTCCGGAGGAGATGCAGCAGTCGCAGAAAGATGCGCCAGAGAGTGAACAGCAAAACTCGAACGATCAGCAACGGAACGACGGAGACACACCGATGGAAACAAACGGTGGTGGAGCTCCTCCTGAGGTAGGCTCCGGCTCCAGCTGGACGAAGAAAATATCTGCCTGGTTCAGCGGGGTACGCATACTGTCCCGGCAACGCTGGCCTGGCAATCTTTGTTATTCGTTCCACTGTGTTTTTTTCATTTTACTCTTTTTTTTTTGTTTATTGTCCTTCAGCTTAATTTCCTGGTCTTGCAAATTTTTTTTGTGATATACCTTCCTATTTTGAATGGAGCTTGTCAGTTGTTAGGCGGCAAAGATTATGGGGCAATTTGCAATTCAGTATTGGAAGTATGGATATGATTTGGAATGAGTTAGTTAGGTGGGTTAATTGATCCTCCACTGCACTGGCTCACATCGATTCTAACTCAAACAACTAAGTCTTCAATGGAGTTGATTATTTGGTAAATAAATTTCCAGGTCAGTTGGCTAGACTGAAATTTTGTCAAATACTGAAAACCTGATTTGGTCCACAACGGGACAGACACCAATTATATGCTCCTCTGTTTCATCATCAGTTTCCAAGCAGAGATGGCAAGCATTGCCTTCCAACAGTCTTTTATAATCATTCAATTGACAATGATCTGTAAGTAGGCCTTTGAACCAATGTAAGTCTTCTCTGCTGTAGTCTTACAGTTGTATGGTGACATGCTTTGAAGAAAGTATAAGTGCTTTGGAATGGGCTAATCCTGGTAGAATACATCAAAAGTCTTGAACTCTTCATTTTCTTATTAGTCAGTGGGCCATGCTTGAAGAGAGGCAGTAAACAAATGTAAAGAACTGAACTTCAAATGTTCAAGACAGTCTCGGATATACCTACACAGTAGGTTGAATGGACTGACGCCTATCAGAAAACAACTACTCCACTGGCTAATACCACGAACGGCGATATAATCCAACGCCATACATGATTATCAGTGAATAGCCTTTGATAGCGAAATGTGTGTAATAATCATCTATTGTAGATTATTATATTTGATATTTAGATGTTTCACCCTAATGTAACAAAAGAAACTAATTCTCACCTTTTTTTTTCCAATTGCTTTATTTTTTGTTGAAGATTAGTTCATTGATTTCTTTTGGTGTTTTGTTCTTCATAATTTTGTTTATGCTCATTCGGAGTGATATGATGAAAATAAGTAGTGTTTATATGTTGGTTCATTTAGTTCATTGTTTTTTTATTCAAATTCAAGTTGTTTTCATGAACATGTGTTTTTATTTTGGATATTCGGAATCCTTCTTCCGAAAGGATATTTTTCATCTTTTTTGATGAAAGCGAAAATAATTTGTGGTGTAATTTTGATGAACACAATTCCAATTTTCTGTTGATGCCATAGATGGCTTGTTTGTAAAGGAAGATATCGTTCTCACATCATTCAAGATTTGAATCTGATGAGCCATCGAAATCATAGCGTGAGATATCAAATTCAAAACTTGTCTCCGTCTCAAACTTGACATTTTTTCAAAAATTACTTACTCTGCCAGTCATGTCTTGAATTCAGTTTCAATGACAACCCCACATTCCTAAAACTTGTGAAACATGTTTTGCTTATTGAAGACGAATTATTTCTGTGAGAAACATGGAATTTAATTAAATTCACCCATCTCATCATTTTCAATAGTACTAATGCTCATCAAGTTGTCCGTGAAGGAACAGTTTTGATTCTAATGTTTTTTTCAGGAGGGCAACGACAAAGAGAAAAAGAAAAAACATACTGTAAAGAGTATTGAGCTACCTATTGAATCTCTGACAAATGGCTTCTCTCAAGTGGAACTGAACCAATTCACCGAACAGGAATTCAAAATGATCGCCTCCGACAAACAAGAAAAGGAGAGGGCAGATGCCAGAAATGCCTTTGAAGAGTATGTATACGAGTTGCGCAGCAAAGTTTCGTCCGATGACGAGCTGGGATCCTTCATTCTGGAGAGCGACCAAGCTTCCCTGGTGTCTCAGCTCGACGATATGGAGAACTGGTTATACGAAGAAGGAGAAGATTGCAATAAGCAAGTGTATTTGGAGAAGTTGGCCCAACTGAAATCTATCGGAGAGCCAGTTCAGACTAGGAAGATTGAATATGAATTGAGGCCTGTCGTTATTGAAGATTTCGCAAAGTCTTTACAGTTATGCATGAAAGCTTTGGAACTCATAAAGTAAGTGAATATTAAGGATCATAGAAATATAAGAGGCTCCACAAAAGCATTTGCTTATTATAGGAAACATTTATTTATTAATTAATAGTACAAATCCAATATACACACAAAACGGTTGAAAAACTAATTAATACAATGAGAAATAGTAAAAAATTGTTATGCAGTCACATGTAAACATGGTTGCACTTAAATATAAATGATGGTGAATCAAATGAATCTAATAGTTCCTGATCATTTGCATTGGAGTAATAAAGCTATGATAACCATGATTGGTGCGTTGAAAGGGGATTTGAAAAGATGGAGTCATCTATCTAATAGGACACTTGAAAATTGATGTTTCACATTAAATGCGAACTCTTCAGTTTATTATTTATTATATTACGAAGATAAATCAATTCTCTGCATCAATTTTTGTACCACCTTCAAACCATTCATATGGATATTATAGGCATCCCTTTGCTCAAAAACAATACTTTAGATGATATTCTATCAGAGCTGTTTGTTTCAAGATAGTTCATAATATATTTCAACATTGCAACAAGGTTTCTAAACTTTGGGATTAGTTTTTGTACGGGGAAGTGGAAGTTACTAGATATTTGACATTGCCTGCCATAGGTATATCAAAAATTTTATTATGTTTATGGAACGTTTCGTAATATTTGTAAGCTGCGATTGGTTGACTAAGAATGGTAAAATTTTGTTTTGTAAAAATTGATCTTCCATCAAATCACCATTTTGATTCTGTAAAATCTCTTTCAACTCTGTTGATTAGGTGAATCCATCCATCTTCAGAATGAAATATTGCCATTGGTGTCCATATCGTGTAAATCATTTAATTATACATTTATTAAAGAAAGAGCATGAAATGATGGATATTTATCATGAAAGTCACACAAGTTGGATGGAGTATGTGGATATGATAACAATTTAATTGTAATTTTTTACAGAAAATGAAAGAAAATTGTTCATGGCTAATAAAAATGCATGAAAAGATAAAATATATTTTTTAATGAATATCCAGGATATTTAATTTTATGATAACAATAGTCATGCCAGGAGAAAAAGAGAGAAAACAAGTTTAAATAAACAACAAATATTTTTTTTGGAATTATATTTAATAAGGTGCTCAAAGTGTTTACCATTTATCTCCTAACAGTAATGAACCTGCTGGACAAAATTTTGTATTGAATCTAAAATCATGTGAGAAGGAAGGGTAGAAATTTCATGTCTTATTCTTTCTTGCAACTCTTCGATATTTGGCGGCATATTTTTGTAGACTACATTTTTTATGTGACCCCATAGTAAAAAGTCAAGTGGGGTCATATCGGGAAACCTAGCTGGCCATTCAATTGCTCCCATGCGTCCAATCCATTCATCAGGAAAAACTTCATCTAGGTCTGCCCGTACCACACGTCCATAATATGGAGGAGCCCCATCTTTTTGGAAATAATCTTCTAAGCTCTGGAATAATATGCTCTTGTAAAATTAATAAATATCATTCAGAGGTCAAATTTCCTTTTATAAAATAGTGTCCTGTGATGTGTCCACCAATAATGCCACACTAGACATTTACTTTTTGTGGCCGTTGAGTGTGAACTTTCTCTATCCAATGTGGATTTTGGTCTGACCAATACCTACAGTTGTGTCAATTCATGTGCCCATTCATATAGATTTGTAGATTTGGCAAAAAAACAGTATGTGGTTAACAAAGTTGACATTTTCATTTAATTTATCCATAATAACTTCACAGAACTCGATTCTACCATCAAAATTGTCTTCACTCAATACTTGTACCAAATGAATTTTATATGGATGGAATTTTTGCAGTTTGCTAATTTGCCCTCTGTTGTGCCAAAATCATTGGATTTCCACCACATCAAAGAATTTTCTTCATTTGTAATGCTTACTGGTCTCCCACTTTTTGGTCAATCTTGTGCAATGTTTTTGAATCCTTTGATTTAGAAATGGGTTCCTGATTGGTATGCAATTCATTAAAAATATCCACTACTTGGTCACAACTTCGTTTTCTATCACCGTATCCTATGATCATTAAAACTTCAATGCGCTCAGAAAATTATTACAGTAAATGTATTTTTGACATGTGTTGTCAAGATCATCACTGTTAGATGAAAGAACTTAATGGACTAAAACATTTACTTTTTTATCATAACATTTTTCCCTGGCTATCTTACTTTAGGAAATCGTCGAACGTTTTAATTCATATCAGAGACACTGTATATATACTACGAGATTGTACCTTGTAGCAGAGCTCCAAATTTCTTTTGTTTTAAGTTTGCTTGCACTTACACTGTGACTTATATTTAAAATATAACTTTTCATTATTCGAAAATGAGCACTTTGTATTGCAGAGTATTGCATTTCACCAGAAATGCAATACTCTTTTCATTGAGAGAAGGGTATTGCATTTAACTTAACCTGTTCTGATTCAAGTAGCTTTTGATGTCACACAATATTGAATGTTTTTATCTAAATTCACAAATGTGCACATACACAGATGACTTTTCTCAAGATTTCTATAAATGTTTGTTGTTGATGCTTCAATTGCATCATGTGTGGACCAAGCTTCTCGGAATTCACTTAGACTAGGCGAGAGAATTTTATATTTTTTAAAAAAGTTTGAAATTTTCACTTCAATTTAACTCATTATGATTATTTCTCAGATCAAAAGACCCCAAATACGCCCATCTAACAGATGAAGACTACTCCAAGGTGGAAGGCGCATTCAATAAGTCTTACCAGTGGTTAGAACAAACTAGAGTAAAAGTGGGCAGTGCTCCGAAACATCTCCCTCCTCCAGTCACCATAGCCCAAATCAGACAAGAGAAATCGACGTTTGAGAACACCGTCAACCAGGTCCTCAACAAAGCCCCTCCAAAAGCTCCCACCCCTCAGAAAGAAGAGAAAACATCTGGAGATCAGGAAAAGAGCTCGCAAGAATCTAGCGCGCAACAAAACAATGCGCAAAATGGCGAAAAAAGGGAAGAGAACATGGAGTGGTCGTCGCAGTAGGTTAATTAGGTGTTTTTTAAATTGAATTGTAGGTTGGCACGTATATGCCTCACCACTATAACAAAATTTTTAAATTATGCTTAATATATCAGTTATATTTAAATATACTGGATTGTCTTTGCATTTGCGGGAGCTGCGTGTGAGTTGGTGAAAAACAATCTGAAAATGAAGTTAGGACTTGAATTTTTTTCCAATGCTTGCACAACTTGGTGAGTATTCAAAATAGAGCTAATTATTCATCATCTTTTGAGGAATAGGATTGTTGTATGTTAAACAAATCCAGAAATTAGTATGGGGGCCACTTCCACCACAGTTAATGAATTACAATAGATTCAATGACCTTTTGGAGATTATTTTATAGTACCACCCTTTACCTAACACTCTGTAAAGTGACAGAACGAAAGCGCTGTCATGGTAAAAGAGGTTCTAAAATGAATATTTTCATTGCAAATATTTCATCAAATAACGCATTATCTATTTCTTCAAACACTTGAAATAGTCATGGGTCTTGTTTGAAAATTTCGATTGTTCAATTTGTAAGTTAACATTGCATTTTATTTTACATTAGATTAACTATAGCACTGGCATAGTTTTTTCATTTTCATTCAAAATAGTTTTTGAATCGAACTTGCTTCAAATGCTCCTTTTGGGTGGGACATGAAATTTTAATCTTTATGTTGAAAATGGTTATACTGTCAAATTGGAAGTGATCTTAAAATGGTTGTATTCCCATCAATTATTCACTAATTCAAAACAAAAAATCAGGAGATTGAAAATTTTGAACATTTATTTATTAACTTAACTTTAACAATTTTTTTAATGACTTATCATGTTTCTTCAACTCGATGATCAACTATTTTTCACCAATAAAATTCAAATCAAATATAGGACGATAATCAATTTATCGTTCATGAATAATAAATGCAGGTTATTCATAACATAAAAAAAAACTCAAATTCATATTTAATTTAAACACATTTATTGAAGTGGGCTTTCTGTTCATTCATTGCTGAACCCAACTTATTTATTTTTTTGAATCAATTTTTCTTCACATCCCTGTGACAGCAAAGTCTTTGTCGGCGTCATTCAATGTAGTTAATTAGTAATACATGCTTTAGTCAAAACCCTTAGGCTTACTGGGATGAAAAATAACAGTATTATGTGTGTCATCCAATCTCAATCTTGAAAAAGAATTCCGGTATAAAGACATCAATTCTAATATTTCTAGTACGAATGGTACTTTAATCAAACTAATCTGGGTTGTAGATCCATGAATGAGTAATGAACACAGTTTTCTTGAAGAGTCGGATGAAAAAAATCGTCTTTTGATTAATGGGTCTTGTGTTGTAAGATGCTCAGGAGTTTCTCAGATATCTTTTGGGAGATTCACTTAACCAAGACATAAATGGAATTACGGAGAAGAAAATAGACTTGAAGATGAGTGACAGAGAACAAGCATAATAGTCCCAGTTGAGATTTTTGGAGATGAACAACTCCAAGATTGTTGGCAGTTTCGTAGGCCACTTGAAATCTATGCCGAAGTCAACATTCTGTGAAAACACATTGATAACCTTTGATCTCTTTGGGATTTTGTTTTCCCCATATCTCAAAATACTTTTATTTTCATTGCTGGAATCGAACAATAAACTTCATACTATCTCCAACATTTTTATGGAGAACGGTATATTTTAAAGTTCACAAAACCAACTCATATCGAGGTTTTTAAATTGGAGTATTTTGGTAAAAAATGGTTTTTTGAAAAAAAAAGTTTGTATGGATGAAAAATTTAAAATTTGTTTGCGTGATTAAACTGGACTAATTTCATATTATATTTAACATTCCATTGAATAGTTTTAATTACGATTTCAAGTTGAATTATACACAGGATGCAATCCACCACAGAAATACTGGTAATGTGTTGGTAATTTTGTACACTGGTTCAGTTTGATAGAAAAAAATTCCAAGTCAAATAGTGTGAGAATATTTAAAAAAAATCTTGAACAATAAATCAATCTATGTTGTTGCTAAAAAATGTTCTTATAAATTAAAAAAAAATTAGTGAGCTTTTGCTAAAATAATAGTAATTCATTTTGACTTGTAATTCATTGTGCTTGCATTGGAAAAAACCAATTTCATTCAGGAGATTATTTTGGGTTTGAATTTTCTAACGTTTTCAATGCACCTGTGAGGGTATAAAATTCATCAGTTCTCTTGCAGCTCTTCTACGTTGTGTGATAACTTGAAAGAGCAACAGTTTCGTAACTGAAGACTGGCTGTATAGTTAATCTGGAATTGAATTGTCAGTATATTTATTTATTGCATGAATTCAATTGAGTATCACACCTTGCTCTTTCTAGTTGGAACAGGAAATGTATGTTTTCTTAGACACCTACACTGATTACACAATATGTGTGTTATTTGCTGATTTAACCATAAACTATAAAGGTATGCTCTTTGCTGTTTCTCGAAAATCCGAAGTATTTACTAGACTAAGTTGTTTCAAATATAATTTATTTACTAGGTTGTAATAGTTTTTATTTTCCTTATTCAGATAGATCACTAGCGCAGTAAAGGGATTTGAGTGGCACCAGAGAAATTGTAGTGATCCGTTTATTTATTTTAGAACTGCGGACTGTGGTCACCTCTGTGACCGTGTTCAGCTTCATTCCATTCAAAATTAATATGTTTGGTTTTTGTTGTAAATTTTTTAAACACGTGTTTAATAAAATGTATAGTTGAACAATTATTTTTTTAATTTTTCCTGTTACTTGGTTATTTTTCGAGCTATTATCAACCTTACCACATCCAAATTGTAGATTCCTCAATTGGTAGGTAACATACTTAATGAATAAAATGAGGTATTGAAGACCTAATGTTGGAAAATTTACATTACATTGCCAAACCCTTGAAAATTAATATTTTGTACAAAATGTGAATTTTTCATTTACCGATTCTCTTCAAGAGTCATCAAGTTAATAACCTCTGGTTCGGTTCAATTCCTTGTTGATCAAAAATATGATAGAACTGACCAATACTTGATGAAAATCCATTATGATGTGTCAATGTGAAAATTCCACTTGAAAGTTTACAAAACCCCGACACTTGTTTCACAATTCAATAGCATCTTCAGGCGTTACAATGTATTGTCGTTATTATCCCAAGAAACAAACGTTTATGAATTGGGATTAACTAGAGATACTGCTATTTTAGCAAAACTCGTGTCGCGGTTTTGGATATCTCACTGTTTTTTGAATACTTTATTAATCATTTCAAGCAGTGGAAACAGACTCGAATAGCTACAGATATGCAGATAATAAAAATAAAATAAATATTTACCTTTCAAACTGAAATTTTCATGACCATCTTGAACATTTCATTACGATACCCACTATACCGTACCACCATGGCCGTGCTAGGACCGTATCAGACACGAACAATAACACGACACGGTCTACCTTGCCCACTGTAATGGATCAACCGTGTTCTAAGCCCGTAAGCAACACGTATAATGACCATATCATACGGGTATGATGACCGTTAGATACCCTTTGACAATTGTAGGTAATGTGAAGTATTGTTATTCCGGCTTATTCATCAGTGTAGTGTGAACGTGTAGAAGAGATTACCATGAAGAACGAATATGGTTATGAGATTATCTGCTCGACAATTGGTATTGGTAGCTATTATTTTGGACGATGAAGAAGCAGAAACTCAAAAAAGACCAGACGCTATTGGATTCACGACTCTTCAAGATAACGAGAAAGTGAAGGAGAATATTGGACATTATTTTGACATTTAGTTGATGATGAGGAAAAATTGTTTCAGTATTTTCGAATGCCAACATTTCAATGGAATGTATTGCTGAATAAAATTGGAAATGATTTACAACCCGTTTATACACCGTTTCTCTGCCGGAGACCTACGGTTTAGCAACATTACGTGCTATGCACGTTGCGTATCAGCACCGGCAAAATATTCTCGACTCGAATACTGTTATGGCACGTGCATGCTACGCTACGTGCCGGACCGGCGACGGAACGGTCTAGTGGGCGTTGGTTCATATGAATTGTATGAAAAAATATTTTTTATCATGTGCCAGTACGTTTACAGTCATGGTTTGGTACGGTACAGTGGGCAGAGACCTTAAAAGGGTTTCATGAATTAACTTTTGCACTGGCAGTAATGGCGATCCTATGACATGCGCGTCTTAGGTGACACGCATCTTCAAAGATGAAAAAAAGTATGATTCACATTTATGCCTCATAATGTAATGTTTTAATATAGCCAGGACATAAGAGCTCTGTAAATAAATGTTTGAAAATCAAAAAACGAATGCACATATTTCTAGAAATGATATAAAATCAAGAAAAGTTAATGCAGTCAAGCTGCTGGAAAATAATTCCAAGAAATTTAAAGGATGAAGATGAGTACTATTCTGATCATTCCCAATTTGATTTCAATCTAAGAGCCACCGGTAGACAGTTGTTTTAGCCTGTTGAGTTGATTTTATATCATCACACGTTACGTTATGGATAGTGGAGACGTTGCATTTTCATCCATATCACTTTGGCATGCGTAATCGTACAGGGCGAACCACCATTTGTCGGTTTTTAGCCTTCATATCGCGTATCTTTATCTGTTTGTTGCGGCGTTGTTTCGTACCTCGTTCGGATAAGTTACGGAATGATTCATATAGCCGAAACTCAAAATGTTTCCTAAAGTGAGCCGTATCATCTCACAAGGAGCCAAACATTTACGTTGTTACATTACGGGCAATCGGTACATGTGGATATGCGCCTTTATATATAATGCAAATATTCACGATGCATACAGGGTGTTGATTAAGTATGTACCATAAATTTAACAAACGATTCTTTAGGTAATTTTAAGACTAAATGTTCCTATAAACATGGGTCCGCAAATCCTTCGTTCTCAAGATACAGGGTGTTGAAATAAAAATTAAAAAAAGTTATTTGTAATTATCTTAAATATCCTTCACCTAATTTTGTTGTAATTTGGCAATGGTATTTATAACATTAAGGAGCATTAGCCCGAACGTGATTCAATTTATTAAGTCCAGTGGCGTCTCGAGCGGGATTTGAACGAATATTTTTGACTTAAAAATGTACCCCACTGACTTTCGTGCAATTTTTATTATTTCTTTGGATTAAACAATTAGAAATACAACTTTTATGGCCGTGCCACTACACTAAAATGTGGTGGAGCACCATCGTGCATGTACCACATACGGAATCTTTCCATGACTGGAATTTCTATACGGACATTTTCAAAATTATACAATAAACTTGTATAAGTTTGAAAATGTCCGTATAGGACGAAATTGCAGTAACGTTAGTTACAAATAAAAGTGGTAAAATACATAGAAATGTTCATTTCTCTTTTCATTATGATTTCCTACCACATAGTAACGGCTACATCCATCAATTTATTTTTTTATGCTCAGCTGGATTTCTATGGAAGACGATAATTGAATAGGATAAGGTAGGAAAAAAAAACGGAATTGAAAAACATGTTTTATATAGCTACCTCGTATAATTTCGGTTAGAAAAATAGATCTTTTTCTAAATACAGTTTTTTTCATGTTCAGTATGAATGTGAATTGAAGGAAATACTGGAAGTACTATACACGATCTCACTAATTATCATATCTACATAGGAAAGGAGAGATTTCTATGTATTCACTTGTTTTCATACTTTATAGTATGTAGTATACATTTTCAATATAGTTTACATATTCGAAACTTCATATCTAGTAGTTTTTATATGCTGAACTTGCTAAACTTGTTTTAAAAAACGCAGCCAATGAGTTTACGATTAGTTATTTTTTGATACTAAACAGAATGAAGATTCCGAAAAAACAAAAGTAGAACTTATTTTGTTTGTGTTTTATCCGTTCATAAACTAATGCCAATTATAAAGTTAATACACGCTCTTTTGAACTGAAAGGAAAATCTTGCTACGTCAATTCGACGAAACAAGATCTTTAAATCTATTCCTTACGAAAGCCTAGAAGGCCATTTATTTTAATTATTTGTTTCTTAGAAATTACGACGTTGAAACTCAAAATTACGACTCTAAACTCAAGATTTCAACTTCAATCTCGTAATTTCGAGTTTAAAGTCCAAATTTCGAGATAAAAGTAGAAATTTCGAGTTCAAAGTCCAAATTTCGAGATCAAAATCCAAATTTCGAAATCAATGTTGAAATTTCGAGTTTAAAGCATAATTTCGAGACTAAAGTCGAAATATCAGGTATTCAAAGTCGTAACTTCTAGTTCAAAGTCGTAATTTTTAAAAAACGAATAATAAAAATATGTGGCCTTTCTGTATGAAAGCGCGAAACGACCACATATTTTTATTATTCGTTTCCTGAAATTTCGACTTTAATCTCAAAATTACGACTTTAAAATATAAATTACGACTTCGGACTCGAAATTTCCACTTTAATGTTGTAATTTCAAAATTACGACTTTGAAATTGATATTTCGACTTTAATCTCGTAATTTTGAGTTTGAAGTCGAAATTTAGAGTTTGAAGTCGAAATTTCCTGTTTCAAAGTATTAATTTTCAAGAAACGAATAATGAAAATATGTTGCCTTTCTGTACGAAATCGCGAAAAGACCACATATTTTAATTATTCGTTTTTTGAAAACAACGACTTTGAAACTGGAAATTTCGACTTTAATCTCAAAATTACCACTTCAAGCTCTAAATTACGACTTTCAACTCTAAATTACGACTTTAAATTTATAATTTTGAAATTACGAGATCAAAGTCGTTGAAGTCAAAATTTCGAGTATGAGGTCATAATTACGATATTAAAGTTGTGATTTTGAAATTACGAGATTGAAGTGGAAATTTCGAGTTTAAAGTCGTAATTGAAATTACGAGATTGATGTCGAAATTTCTAGTTTGAAATCGTTATTTAGAGCTCATAGTCGCAATTTTTAAGCAAATAATAATGAAGATAAATGCCCTTCTGTACGGAAGCGCAAAAGGTCCACATATTTTTATTATTCGTTTCTTGAAAATCACGATTGGAAATTTCGACTTTAATCTCGAAATAACGACTTTATACTCTTAATTCCGACTTCCATTTCAAAATTTCCACTTTAGTAGAAATTTCGAATTTAAAATCGTAATTTAGAGTTTAAAGTCGTAATTTAGAGTTAGAGTCGTAATTTCGCGATGTAAGTCGTAATTTTCATGAAACAAATAATACAAATATGGGGCCCTTTTGCGCTTCCGTAATTCTTGTATCTAGTGTGAATTATTTCATATTACAAATCTACCTGAAAAATTGTTTCCAAAAATGTAATCTTCAATTTAGTCAAGATATTCTTGATTTTTCTATATCTCTATATATTGCCTATACAGTTTACTAGTAGTAATGCGGTTTTTGACAACAAGGTAATATTTCTAGAATGCCAAAAACAACTTCTGTAGTGGCTAACATTATGGTCAAGGAGTTTAGTATCGATTCAAGTTTCAGCACCGGACTCTGGATGAAGAAAGAGTAGAATAGCGTTCCAATTGTTACGAAGGTGAGTAACACTGTTATTGCAGTCACGGTTCCTGAAAATTAATCAATAAATCAATATACGAGTGGAACAATGTTTTCAAATCAATTGTCATATTCATTATCATTATCTATCGGATACAAAAANTTTGTTTGTGTTTTATCTGTTCATAAACTAATGCCAATTATAAAGTTAATACACGCTCTTTTGAACTGAAAGGAAAATCTTGCTACGTCAATTCGACGAAACAAGATCTTTAAATCTATTCCTTACGAAAGCCTAGAAGGCCATTTATTTTAATTATTTGTTTCTTAGAAATTACGACGTTGAAACTCAAAATTACGACTCTAAACTCAAGATTTCAACTTCAATCTCGTAATTTCGAGTTTAAAGTCCAAATTTCGAGATAAAAGTAGAAATTTCGAGTTCAAAGTCCAAATTTCGAGATCAAAATCCAAATTTCGAAATCAATGTTGAAATTTCGAGTTTAAAGCATAATTTCGAGACTAAAGTCGAAATATCAGGTATTCAAAGTCGTAACTTCTAGTTCAAAGTCGTAATTTTTAAAAAACGAATAATAAAAATATGTGGCCTTTCTGTATGAAAGCGCGAAACGACCACATATTTTTATTATTCGTTTCCTGAAATTTCGACTTTAATCTCAAAATTACGACTTTAAAATATAAATTACGACTTCGGACTCGAAATTTCCACTTTAATGTTGTAATTTCAAAATTACGACTTTGAAATTGATATTTCGACTTTAATCTCGTAATTTTGAGTTTGAAGTCGAAATTTAGAGTTTGAAGTCGAAATTTCCTGTTTCAAAGTATTAATTTTCAAGAAACGAATAATGAAAATATGTTGCCTTTCTGTACGAAATCGCGAAAAGACCACATATTTTGATTATTCGTTTTTTGAAAATAACTACTTTGAAACTGGAAATTTCGACTTTAATCTCAAAATTACCACTTTAAGCTCTAAATTACGACTTTCAACTCTAAATTACGACTTTAAATTTCTAATTTTGAAATTACAAGATCAAAGTCGTTGAAGTCAAAATTTCGAGTATGAGGTCATAATTACGATATCAAATCACAACTTTATTTTGAAATTACGAGATTGAAGTGGAAATTGAAATTACGAGATTGATGTCGAAATGTCTAGTTTGAAATCGTTATTCAAATAGCTCAAAGTCGCAATTTTCAAGCAAATAATAATGAAGATATGTGGCCCTTCTGTACGGAAGCGCAAAAGGTCCACATATTTTTATTATTCGTTTCTTGAAAATCACGATTGGAAATTTCGACTTTGATCTCGAAATTACGACTTTATACTCTAAATTCCGACTTCCATTTTAAAATTTCCACTTTAGTAGAAATTTCGAATTTAAAATCGTAATTTAGAGTTTAAAGTCGTAATTTCGAGATCAAAGTCGAAATTTCGCGATGTAAGTCGTAATTTTCATGAAACAAATAATACAAATATGGGGCCTTTTTGCGCTTCCGTAATTCTTGTATCTAGTGTGAATTATTTCATATTACAAATCTACCTGAAAAATTGTTTCCAAAAATGTAATCTTCAATTTAGTCAAGATATTCTTGATTTTTCTATATCTCTATATATTGCCTATACAGTTTACTAGTAGTAATGCGGTTTTTGACAACAAGGTAATATTTCTAGAATGCCAAAAACAACTTCTGTAGTGGCTAACATTATGGTCAAGGAGTTTAGTATCGATTCAAGTTTCAGCACCGGACTCTGGATGAAGAAAGAGTAGAATAGCGTTCCAATTGTTACGAAGGTGAGTAACACTGTTATTGCAGTCACGGTTCCTGAAAATTAATCAATAAATCAATATACGAGTGGAACAATGTTTTCAAATCAATTGTCATATTCATTATCATTATCTATCGGATACAAATACGAGACGGTGTGGGACATCGAAAACGTATCGCAAGACAGAATTGTCAGAGAAATAACTTTTCTCGAAAAACCAAAAATATGTAAAGTTTCTTTGTGAAGGCCCATATCCGTTTATGATAAATGACCTGTAATGCATCTTTCACACGGAGATCTTCACGTCTCTGGCTCCCGAGAGAGGAAGGCTTAGCGTCAAAATGCAACGAGTCCAATGGAGCTTCCAGACGAAGAACGTGGACCGCCACCTCACGGGGACGAGAGTCTCACGTCTCCTACATCTCGAGCAGGGAACCACGTCCTTTCATCAAAATACAAAAGAATGAGGGAGAGCTTTCACAAGAGTAGTGAAAACGGCTGTCCCTCTCTTCTCCAGTTATATTAAATAATGTATCGTTCTATTTCAATAAAGTTCAATACAGTTCCCCATGTTAGTATCTTCGAGCTGAAAACTATTCTGCATCTGGTCTAGGAGCTTATTAAACGAAGCAGACGACATTCGAAAATAATCGAATAACTTTTTCTCATCCCGTCTAAATTTTGGGCAAAGCGCAGCAAAAACCCCTGCCTCATCGCTTCTTTGGTTGACTGAATGTATGATGTATCCAAAACATTCTTGATTGGCATTTCTGTCGTCAAGTTTGTGTCGACGGTAGAGAAGGTATAGGTATGGCAACAGCTTGAGTGCGATCCATTCTACGACTGAGCACAAGGCGCTAGGAACTAAAAAGGCTTTCGGTATGAATGGGCCGCAGGTAGGAGTGATAAACGCTCCTGCATAGGAGCAAGATACGTGAAGCTCCCCGTATGAAAGTGTCCTAATAATAGGGGAGCCCAAGCGGGGATTTTGTGATTTACTAAAGCGCGATAGATTAATATACAGGAGGATACCTTGTACTCGGTTAAGTATCTCCACCAATTATGAGCCCCATATATAAGGCCACCCGTGAAGGATAAAGGATCAGATTAGTCAGATTAAGGTAGGGTGAGTTAATTACATGCTAAAAAGTGTATATTCCAGTAATCTGACAGTTCGAGAGTGACGTAAAGAAAGGGGAGGGCAGCAAAGTTGTAAAAAAATAACGTCATTTCGACATTCTCGAGAGTAGCTAATTTTTTTTACTTTGAAGGAAATAATTCAAGGATAACGAAAAATATATAATTTGACGATTTCCGGAAGCCGAAATAACAAAAATTCGTCGATGAAGTTTAATGCGTGCAGCTGTGTGACATCTATATTTCCCTCTCCGAGTTTGTATTTCTCTTTCACTTTTTCTCTATCTATTACTCTCACTCCGTCCCCACTCTGAATTATGTTGCTATGACGCCATCACAGCTGATCACAGAGATTCGTTCGTGATGAAGATGAAGATGATGATTAATTAATCAATTGATTATAAAAAATTAATTTTTTTTGAGCATTAAAAAAAACTATTTTCTTATAAATACAAGTATTCTACTTAAAAAACATACACTTATTTATTTGCATGCTATTTCCTGGGTTTTTCAATTAATTAAGTCCAATGATTTGAATTTTTTTTTGTCAGATTAGGCGAATCCCTCTAGATAATCGTCAGACTATGAGACAGCCTGTCTAGAACATAAAGATGAACGATATTTATCTTAATCTGACGCGCTTAAGTATTTCAAAATGGCGAATTTTTTTTTGCATCTCATAATAATGGCCGCGAGTTTACGTCAGATCGAAATCGTCAGATTATTGAATGATAGTTTTTTTTTGTTGCACTTAACACACCCTTAGAAAATCTGACGCGCTCGATTTAATTTTTTTTCTTTTCACTTTCAACCCTTACGTACAACCACCTGCACCATGCAAATGATCAGATTAACATAGGAATATTATTGAAAATACGTAGGACATTGATGCTATCAATATCTGACGCGCTCGAATATGTCCATGCAACAGTATTTTTTTACATAAGGTATATATTATATAAAGTTTTTTCTTTAATTTTTTTTCTTTTCACTTTTAACCCTTACGTACAACCACCTGCACCATGCAAATGATCAGATTAACATAGGAACATTATTGAAAATACGTAGGACATTGATGCTATCAATATCTGACGCGCTCATATGTCCATGCAACAGTATTTTTTTACATATTTGAAAATCTATAGCCGTTTTTCCCACCGATGAAAAGGTATATATTATATAAAGTTTTTTTCTTCTTATCATCCAAGCTTTTCAACCTAATGTGTCTCTATGACGCTCGATTAAATACCCATTTTGCATCGTGGGCTCCCCTACTATAACGTTACAGAGTTAGACTATTTGTGAGTTATAAATCTAAAGAGGTACGAAACTACCACATACAACATGCAATGATAAGCGTAAACAATATACTTCTCTTAATTTATCATCATGCGTAATGTAACAATCCTTTAATGCGACTGTTAAAAACCGAAAAATGATGCTTTGTATAACGTACGAGGTGATTTTTTATTTTTCTGAAAAAATATTAATTTCATTCATCAATTACTTCAAAAAAGTCCCCATCAGATGTGATACCCTCGTGCCAGAGTTTTTTCCAATCCTCGAAGCGGTTCTGATATGCACTTTCTGGTATATCCTTGAGCTGTCTCAGCGATTCAGTTTTTATCTCGTCAATTGTCGCAGAACGCCGTCCTGTCATAGATTTCTTCACTCTTGGAAACAGAAAAAAGGCGCAGGGGGCTAACTCTGGTAAATACGGTGGCTGAGGCAAGCAATGCTGAGTGAGTAGGTGCATTATCGTGAAGCAAAAGCCATGAATTGTTTTTCCACAATACCGAAAAATCGTCGAACACGCAAAATACTTCTAACTTTTATGCCTTTCACCAACAAACTAAACATGCTAAACAGCTGAAATTGTGAAAGTATATCCGAGACGAATGTACCAACATAAAAAATGCTAATCCTAATCCAGCTTCAAATTTATGGGTTATGAGGTACTCGGAAAGAGTGAAAATTATCTCGAATATCATTTAGAAAATAATTAACATAATTTTACTTTGAAAAAGTTATCACATTGGAAATTAATTGGAGCGTTCAACATCACACTATTTGTTATTTAACAGTGTGGTGTATGAACGTTTTCATTGATTTACATTGTGTCTTTCTTAAAGTAAAAGTTTGTAGTATGAATCAGCTATGATATTGAAGAAAAAAATATCAGCATAACGAAAAATAAACAAAACATACTTCTTCTGAAATCCTTGAATTTCCTGTAGATAAGGATTTTCAGCAACTCCACAGAGAGTTTCGTGCCCACCACGGCTGCATCTGTATCAATTTTTGGAGTATCGATGATGCTTATGTACTTGGCAGCAGTCATTATCGTCTCACACGTTCCAAACACGGGGAAATAAAACAAGTTCAGGTATATCAGACATTCGAACATCAGCTCTGTATCGACGTTCATCTTGTTAAAATTGACGGATCATCAACTATGGAGAAACTGATGTACATCGCCTAAAATCAGTTATTTTTAACCTAATGTTCGTTTTATTTATAGTTCGTTTAGCCTAGTTACTCGAGCATAAGGTAATGAGGAAGTAGGTAAAGAAAATTTGTCTACAGTTTTATTTCATCCCACTAACGCGCCGAAAACAAGTATATATCGCCGAAATCAAATCCAATTATGAATGTATTTAGTACACTGCAAACGTCTTTATGAAAATAATCCTTTTTCACGATCTTTCACTATTTTCATATCGTTTTCGGTGTTAATAACGAAACGTTGATTCCTTCTTTAATGACAAAAATCCCAGTGGTAACTTTCGTCTCTAGTGCTACTGTATACAAAAATTATATGTCTCTCCACATTCCTCTATATTCCACACTAAGTGATATTCATTTATGAACAAATATGGTAGTTTTTTCAAATACTGGAGCATTGGTTTTCAATTTTTCTTTGGCAGCTTTTTGGATAACTTGAAAAAACGCTTCAATCAATCCTCTAAAAACTTCGACTGTATATTATTCGAAATACATCTGCAGTAGGCACCCCCACGAACGCCAACCCTCAGAAGTGGAAACTTGTGCGAGCTAAGGACTAACGAGGTCCTACCTTTCAACATGTGATTCCTAACATGAGTTGGACGATAGCAAGAAAAATTGACCGTTCAGCCTGCGGCTTGAACCATTGACTCACACATCGGCCGATTGACTAAGTGAACAAAGCACCTACGTCGTGCCGCCCGGCTACCGACCGACCCTTGTAACAACTACTTTTATATGAACATTCGATTATACAAAAAAAAACACTTTTTCTTTTCAGATTGTTCTTCAAAACAGTATGGAGTTGAGTTCTTCATCTTGTAATGTTATCCAGATTGGTGTTGAAGATGCAATAAGACAAGTGTCTTTTTCCGAAACATCGATGTCCGCCATTGAGGATGACAGAATGAGGGGAACTGAAACTCCCCAAAAGCCTTTGCGAAACATGCCACGTGGACCAGCCTACCCAAGCTAAGGTGTAAGGAATCGTGCCGACAGCTGAATGGCCGCAGGGTGATATGCGGCTACGAATGATCTCCTTGAGGAACTGGGCGAAACCTCATTGTAATCAGCCACCTCTGATAATACGGGGCTCTGCAAGAGGTGACCGACTCTTCCCTTGCTACTCGTGGGAACACACATAAATGAAACAAACACAAAAACAGAAACAACACAAACCAATCATGAGGCTGGACAAAAGTGCTCACCTCAATATATGGCGCGGTGGCTGGGGATGAACAGAAATGTCCACCCCAATCTACCGCTTGGAATGAGGCTGGACATAGCAGATCACCTCGTGATGTAAAACAAAGGCGGCAAATTTGGCTCTCCGAGGCTAAAAGGAGAAAGAGAACGAAGGAAACAGGAGTGGCAACAACTATAAGTGCACCCTCCTCCTCCCCAACTCCACCACCAACAGCAAGGACACTTCCTGCGGCGGGCGCCAAGAGCTTCGTCTTGAATAAAGGCAAGGAACCGGCAAGAAGGTTGAAGAAGCTGCGCAACGACGGTAATGTCGCTGTACCTTCCAAAACCTTCGCGGAGGCCACCGTGAGACACCTCAAGGTTCCCAAAAAGAGTGTGTGTTCGTCGAGTCTTGACCTACACCTGCCAATATAAAGGAGATATCTTCTAGTGACCCGTCCACTTTCCTGGAAACGTCAGGATGGACGATGACCTAGAAGGACAACTCTTCGGGAGGATATACAATGGGTCACATGTGGCTTAAGTGCTCCCTACTCTAGAGATATAGATAGGCAAGTGTCTTTTTCCGAATCATCGATGTCCGCCATTGAGGATGACAGGAAAATTCGTATCTTTAGTATTCTGTATTGTGTAGCAATATTGTGAATGATATCTGATTCATTTTCATTATGAAAGTTTGGAATACAAACTGACCACAGTATTTTTTTGTATAATTCAACGTTCATATAAAAGTAGTTGTTCAAAAAGGACGCTTTCTTTCGTGTAATTTAAGGTTCAAACGAAAATATTTGTTTCGAGAGGGCTTTTTCCCATTTTATATAACTTTAAGTAACTTCAATGCATGATCTACACATCTTTTTAAAGAGTTTATTTTGAAATGGATTGCTTTCTTCCTTCCTTTGAAAGTTTCCCACATTTTTCGTATGAAGATGGAGTAGTAGAAAAACAAAACATTTCTTATCTAAAAATGAATCTCTCCAAAAAATATACCCCTTTCAACTTAAACAAAAGAAAACATTCCTATTGTGATAAATTTTGTCAAACTACTTATTCGCATGAGATTCTTACTAGATCAAAATAGCGTAGTTCGTCATTTTGCCTGTTGAAACTATAAAACTATTTCTGTAATGTTTACGGTTATTTCAAGGATACTTATTTTTTATGGAATAAATCCAACTAGATTTTGAACATGATGTTTTTAAATTATGAATCGGAAACATTACTTTCAGGTTGTCGTTATATATAGAAACATATATGGGTAATGCAACCGTTTCAAAATTCACAAATGTAACTTTCTGAAATAGCTACGTACCCAGTCAATTCACAAAGAATGGATCGATTACTGACTGATTCAATATTAATGTTAACTACTATCTACCCACTGGTGAGATATTTCAATTTATTATCTAATGAAAATAACGCAAGCTTTCAATCAATAACTTTCCCACTGTTTTCGAAGTAGGTACTCAGTTTACCACTTTCAGTTTTATGTATTGTAAATCAATATCATCACCCATATGGTTTGCAATATGAAATATGAGGGCAACAAAAAGGAGTTTTGAAAAATGGTAAACGAAAAAAAAGTTTTTATCTTTCACGCCTCCTTACCTATTTATATTTCTCGGCATGATATAAACATCTTTGAGAATAGTTTATTTTGAACTGAATTGCTTATAAAAAATGAGCAAAAAAAATTAAAAATTAAAAAAAATCAACTTCACAACGTTTCGATTATTAGCATCCACAATCGTCTTCGGATGAGGACTGGACTGTTCCTCCGAGAGATAGGTTATTCGAATGCTTTCACCTCTTCCCTCTCTACGCTTCACCGGCTAAGCGGGAGTTGACCGTTTTTTTCGTTTGATTATAGGTTTCCGTATCTCTACGCATGCGTCTTTGGACAACATATATGCAGATTCTTTGAATTTCCTCTTAAACCAGTGTTCCTCCTTTGGTTGATCTCAGCTTGGGACCACTTGATATTATGTTGTTGAGTTCAAACATGCTTTGCTATTCCCGATTTGCTGCTGGTTTCTCCCCGCTGTGTGTTTCTCTTGTGCTCGGTAATGCGAACTTTGAATAACCTCTTAGTTTCACCGATACTCATTGCAACACCGAAACCATCGTTATTTTTAAGGAAAAAATCACACTCGTTAAATAGGTAGAATTTAAGTTATTTTACCTACTTGCTGAATTGTTGTCTGAAATCATTTTGAGGGATTGAATTACATCAGTTTCACTAAAAAAAATCGTGTGGTATCCTGAAATTACCATGGAAAACAGTTGCTCATTGATATTTACTGTCAACTTGACAATATTGTTGAAAAATCTTGTTGTATTAACCCCCAGAATAGTTTTCATTGCATTTGTTGTTTCTAGTATTATTGTTCCTTGTATCGCTTTTGTTCCTATTGTTTCTGCTGTGTGTTTCTGAAGTTCCTATTTCAATTGATATCAGCTTATTTTCATTAACAAAGTTCAACATGACACGTCTGTCACTTAAAAAAAATTGAAACTGTTTTAATCGTTGGTGAAGGCATCAGGTATTATCGTGAAGCAGCCGCTGAATTCAATAAAAGACATCCGCTAGAGGTAGCTGTACACCCTGGAACTGTCCATAAAATATATAATCTTTTCGTGAGCACCGGCCAAGTAACAAAGGACAGAAAAATTTTAAAATAAAATATTGAAGATGATACCATATTGACGGCTTATCAAGCTGATCCTAGAATTAGTAAGAGAAAGTATATTCATAGTAAGTTGGTAGTCCTGCTAACGAATCTGGAGGAATTTTGAGTTTATTTTGCCCCCTAGTATTTTTTACCGTAAAAATGAATTGTTCCATCGCGAGTGGCGGGCAGTGTATATCACTTTGGCCAACCTCATTTAGGTTTTGTGTGAATTTTGAGCATTTACATCAGTTCTGTGAGTTTCATCATTCTACCTCAATTTTTACGGAAGATACGGGGTTTTTTCTATGAAAAGTGAGACACACTGTATAAATGATTAACACACTGACATGTAGTAAAGAATTATAATTATAACATATTTTACAATACACTTCACCAACCCTTTCACATATACCCGTAATAAAGTACCTTCTATGGAGACTGAAACAAGAACAAAGTGAAAGACCTTGTTGAGTTAACTCATTCCAATAATCTCCATAAATCTAGTTCAGTTATCGCAATGAGGATAATGTCCTACAAAAATCGAATTTATCACGAGAAATGTATACCTATCTAATGAAAGGTGAGGTTTTCTGTGACAATTTTTCGTGGTGCATTTCGTTAGTTCGGACTTCCATTGTCTAATATGATATAAATTGACTTGAAATCCCTGAAAGGATCTGTAAAAAATTAGAAAGATTAGCTGAAAAATAACAATTATATTAAGCAAAAAAACTGAAATTGCAATGAAATAACATACAAGCAACAACCAAAAAATCAAAAAAATTGAACTATTAACACGAGATGAAAATTAAAAAATTATTTACAAGAAATGAAAATCAAATATTAAAAGATTCCAAACTTCACGACGTTTCGATTGTTAGTATCCACAACCGACTTCGGTTGATAACGATATCCACGATTGTGGATATCAATAAAATAGAGAACATACCTTTACCAGAAAACGCAAAATTACTATGCTTTGATGATACTTTACTCCTGATACTCCTGATGATATTTTAGTAATAGAATTATTAGATAAAAATAGAGTAAACCCAGTCATAAAACGAGAAATCATTGACCTTCTGTCGTTACGTCTCAAACAAAATTATTTTCAATT